TATTATCCTGTGTTGCAAGGACGTTTTACATACATTTGATGACTCCGTGGCGCAGTTGCCAAGACTATTGGCTTCGGCGTCGGAGTTCGTGGGTTCGATTTCCACACGGAACAACTATTTGTGCGACCCACAGATAGTTTTTTCGCATCTGGATGTTTGTCCTCGTGCAATTTACGTTTTAAAACATCCTTACAACACAGGATAATGTTATCCTAAAGTGAGGGCAATGTTTTTTAAAATAAATAAATAAAAAAAAAATTTCACGTGCACAAACACCCATGTTGTATGTGTGTTTGTTCCCAGTTCCTGTGCCGAATCAGTCCCGTTCTGACCGAGACTCCTTACTTACCCCTGCTACTAATAACGTAATTGAAGATAAATCAAAGAAAGAAGAACATAAATGAAGAGAAATTATGTTACATGGGCAGTTCAACAGTAACCACAAGAATTATTGAATTTTCTCGAATATTACAGTTTTTACAAAACTGATAAGAAGATTAAATCTATCTAAAATTACATATTATCTAATATACCTAATCCACCCGGCTTCCAAGAACGCTAGCTGCATTTCCTCGCTGAATAGTTATGCTTAACCTTTGAGTGAGAAAAGAACAAGCTCTCTTGTCACCAGCTTAAGATATAATTCTAACTTATGTTAAGAATTATATCTTTCTGCAGTATACAACATAATTACAACAAATTTGTAATAACTTTTTAAAATATTATTAATTGCATATTTGAATTTTTTAGACAACATGTATTGAAATTGTTCACATATTGTACAATATTGATAATATTAATAATATTTTAAAATACCTACAGAAAAAGATACTTCTGTTGCCGATATTTTTTCAAAAATGCAATTGTATTTCGATACCTAAGTACGCATCCCAAATGTTCCCAATTTCAACCTTCTTTAAATAAAGCATTTTAAATGATTGATAGTTTCAAATTCCAATATAGTTCTTAAGGTTTTGATAAAAAAGTGGTCACTCCCACTGTTATCTATGAACGATAAAGCTTTTCGAGTTTCCGGAGTGAAAGCGTCGCTTTCTTGGTGTTTTAAATTTAACTCATAGTTTTTCGTTCACTCAAGATGAGATGTTTCTAATCCATCTGACATCGGTGATAAGCCATCACTCGGCTCATAATTTATTCACTAACTAACCACTCGTAAATCATCACTATTTCTTTGATAAATGTAATTTATATTCAATTTACATACTTATAACAGATATCAATAACACAGGACTTAGGAAATCATGCCTCTTATACGCACTCGTTACCTAGTACGGGAACACAAGTACGTAGGCTACAACTAGAGATGTTATTTAACGAATTAAGTAATTTAAGCACAATCCCGAACGCCATTTAAGTCCGTCGAAGTTTATGAATCTGATCAAAGCCAACTACATAAAGCTTATTGGAATTAAGGTCGTATTTTCACGTTAATCGATTTCGAATCAAGCTCTCGATTGCAAAGCAGTTGCAAACTGGAGTTGGAGATCTCCGATAGCTGTGAACGATAGGTATACTGCTGGGAAGTTTGCTTTAACTTCCTCTCAACTCAATTACCGTGAGATATGACGAATCGATTGTGAAACACTTGGAATATCCAACAGCCTGATAATGAAAGGTACAAAACTTCGTTGAGAATATCCGTAGTAATATTGTCAGTTGGCTATAATTTTAAAAATCATTTACTTTTATGTAAAACAATGACATATCTATATTCATATTATATTTCTGAAGATTGTTAACAACCAAGCATATACAGACAAATATTAATATAACCTAACATTAATAATTTCGTATCTGCGTTTTCACCTGCGTTAAATGTTAAAAGAACTATTGCTAATATTGTCGCGGTATAAAACCATTTAAAGAAAATTTTCTTGAATATTGATTGACAGGATCCGGCTGACAAAGTCAAGGTCAACCGGGAAATGTCGGTTCAAAAAGTTTTCCCTCTAGGGACCACTTTTAGAAATAATGGCTTCTTATTCAAGATCCAGACAGGACTGTGACTGAATTAGCATACAAATTGTTGGAACCCGATCTCTGCCGCGCGTTAAATTATATTATGAAGTTCACAAATTTACATTACAATTTAATTTACATTATAACTTTTATAATTAACACTTTCCCACCACCCCGAGATATGTCGTGTGTTGTTCTTTAATTATACACCTTCAATATTATTCAAGCCTTCAACCACACGTCTCATAATCCAAATAAAGTCAAGAATAATGTAGGTATACAATATGGAATTCATCGACTACGATGTACGACAATTACTGGGAATGAAAAAACTTTATCTAGGAAAGTTTTGAAAAGGATAATTAGAAATAAATTGCAGTAGTAATAACATGATAACAACTCTTTCGCCATAGTAATTTATTTTAATTTAATATATTCTAAATACTAGGTCTTGATTGATTGATTGAATATAATTTATGGCTCACAAGGAAATACAAGGAAAAAGATACCGGAAAGATTTGTACATACAGGCGGCCTTATTGCTAAGGTAGCAATTTCTTCCAGGCAACCTTAGGGTATAGGATTAGATAATAAAGTCTAAAAATAGGTCTTATAAGGTATATGTATACTTGTATACACTTTATTAATTTAAATTGAGGAAAACGCAAAAATCTTTTTTATATGCGCTCTACCCTATCAAAATATACAATGTACGTAGGTCACACTGAAAGTTGTAAGAAAGTCATAAATGTAATGTAAAAAGTAAAAAGACAATACTTTTATTGTTGTTCGAAGTTTCGAAGTAACCTCGTTTCCAGCAATACATCATTGCATTCGATGGAACCAGGGGCGGACTCCTTTATAGGCCGAGTAGGCCCGGGCCTAAGGCGACAAAATTTAGCAGAAGGCAAATTAGTGGGATTTTTAGCAGTCGCACATTTCGTCTCCCGCTCGGTCGCGTAGGCGATATTGCGTAAAATAATAATAAATCAAGAGGGCCTGATGAGTAGGTACCTTTCTTCGACTTCAGGATCAAATATCATTTATTGAATTTCGTTGTTTTTTTTATTTTAATTTAACCTTATTTCGTTTCATTTATCGTGCTTTACACCGATGGGGGGCAATTTTTCATATGCCTAGGTAGGTGATCAACGGATCAAATGTGCCAGTGTGGAACCCCAGAGAAAAGCAGTAGCCCATTCTTCTTTAGGGGTTCTTTTGGGGGCTTGTAAAGCAAATACCTTGAAGTTTATCTTTTTATGCCTGGTCTGGACAATATGGTATTTCGACACTTGCCATTGTCAAATATTCAATTGGTAGTCGTGGTGAAGAAGGATCAAAATCAAAATCAAAAATATATTTATTCTAATAGACGCTTGCGCGCTCTTATGAATCGTCAAATTTTACATAAAAATTATACATATAGGTTCGTAAGGTACCACTGGTTCGGAAAGCAGTTTCTGTTGAGAAGAGACCGGCAAGAAACTCAACAGTTGCTCTTTTTCAAAAATATCAGGGTACAATATAATATACAGGTATAATAGTTTTACTCTAGCCTACGTGAGTATCAACACATTGGCGTCGTCGAGATATTCCGAAATGGTATAATATGCTTTAATCATAAGTTGATTTTTAATTTTACTCTTAAATGGGTCCTGCTTCGAGGACGCTGCTGTTGAACATTTTCCAAGGAAAAGAAGACGAACAGCAGTTAACATACCAGTCTGGAACACAAAAACAAATGACAAATGTATACAATCACATAGGTTACCAAATAGGCTTATATTCAAAATTTAAAAGAAGTTTCCATCGGAAATGTTTCTAACTGGCCAGTTCTAAAAATTTTCAGTGCCACCCTTAGTATTCTGGATCCCAAATTTCTGCTATATTCCAAATGGCTGCATACGAAAGCTCAATATTGAATCTTGAAAGTTTTTACTTTATCTAACTGATGTTTTTCCTTTCAGAACATAGCTATATGGTAAGCAGAACTCGTGGGATAGCTAGATCCCACGAGCTTGATAATTGACCTTCCGCGTTGGGTTGGGCCGCACATGTGCGTCAATGTCATCAAGCGCATCGAATAGTTCAGAACGGACGGTGGCTGTTCACTTTGATTAAAATAATTAATGGATGGGAACGGTGAGAACAGGACAGAATTGCGGGTATACTTTAGGAGTTTCGTGGATTTCACTATGATCATGGGAAAAGACCCCCTATGGGTCCGATGCACCTTTACCCCTAACCTCGACCGGGTCGATGAAAACTTTGCGCGAACGATGTTTGTAAATGGTCACGTTGCTAGCGAGCAGGTGACTCAATTTACCAATTCGTTTTAGTTTTGAATAAACAAAAAATATCATCTTGAATATCAGTTTTATGTTTGTGGACCAACTGGAACAGTGTTAATCGCTGGTCTTTTTAATTGCACTCAGTTCAAAAGGAAGTAATTTGTCGTACAGCAGCTTAATGTTAAAATTTTATTTAACTATTATAATTTTTGGTCGTCTCGTATCTGCTGTAAGTGATAGTGATGTTTCTTGGTGACAATTTTTTTTCAAATACTATACAGGACTAATCACTTATGTAAACTAAAATTGGTGCTGAAGGTCAGATTAAATGACGAAAAGCCTTTTTGATGCAAAAAGGGCTTGATGAGTTCTTCAGAAGCGTCCTGTGTATACTTGTTACGGAACCCTCGCAGCTTTTAATTGGCAAAGGCTAGAATATGATGTGTCCTCTCCAAGAAAGAATAAGTTCTGGGCACAACTGAAAAATCTCGTTAACGTCTTATCCATTAATGAAATACGATTTTGGTACATTATTCAGTAATTCTAATATACACGTGCGTCAATATCAGATTTACATTTTAGATAAAAATAATATGCTATTATGGTTTAATTTCCTAAACTGCAATAAAAACTATTCAAATACTTCAATTGACTACAATTTCCGAACGCTTGTTTTATAGGCAAATTAAATAATGACAGTTCCTCCATCCAGTGCCAACTTGTCAAAAAATGTCAGCCAACAAGGAAAGTAACCTCGTCCAGGGGTATATTGAATTAAATAAATTTTGTCAAAGCGGCGACTATGATCGAGCGTTAAAAGCAGCAGGCAAAGGTAAAAAAAACATCAACAAAATGTTATAAAAACAAAAATTGCAAGTTTCTGTCTATACATTAGTAGCAATAAGGGGCAGTCTAGTACCAGTTGTTCAATTTATATGAAATGTTCAACTTTTCTTCTTTTTATAACAAATACGTAAATGATAACTTTGCTCATTGAAAAGCTGCTTATGTTCTTGAAAGCTTTAGTGAATTTAGATAATAATAAATATGGATTATTAGAGCAGCAGCTTAAGCGTAGATTTTTGGCTAGACTACTTCATTTTACGACCTACCAGTGAAATTGTAAAATTTTTAGATAATATTCTAGAAGGCATGTTCAAAAAGGTGATGGCAAAATATCAATCACAAATGTATATACTTTATATACTTACTATACTTGTATACATATATTAGAATTATAATTAGAAGAATTCTTCTTTTATTTGATAGTTCTTTTGACCTTTATTCTTCATTCTAGTCTTACAGATTGCCCCAACAGAGCAGAAGGCCTTTCATTGCAAAATTATTTGCTTTATTCAACTCCACAATTTTAAGGAGGCATTGGCAGTACTTAGTAACCCTAAAAATGCACCACTGGCGGCAGATTTGCACTTTGAAAAGGCATATGTTCAATACCGCCTTAACTGCCCCAAAGATGCCTTGGAGACAGTGGATAGTGCTCCAGAGATGACACTGGCTTTGAAAGAGCTGAGGTAGGTAAAAAAATTGAGCTTTTGGGATGTATAAAGATACTTGGGCTAGTTAACAACAAAGTTAACACTTAATTTGAACCTTTCTTGGTTCAATGTAAAGTGGCAAGAATAGAAAATCAAAACAATAGCAACAATTGACACTATGAAAATAAGAAATTATATTAAATTAATACAGAAACATTCAATCTAAAACATTATTTGAATATTTTTTTATATAATTAACCATATTATGCCGCAGCAATGAAACTAGAAATATCACTGATATGTTTAATTTGAAAAAAGATGTCATGTAATATTTATTGCAGGGCTCAGATCTTGTACCGTTTAGAACAATATCAAGATTGCTACAACCTATATCGTGAAATTGTAAAAAACACCACTGATGAGTATGAAGATGAGAGGAAGGCTAATATGTCTGCTGTTGTAGCCAATTTAGCAGCATTAAATCCTGTAAGTAACACAAGCAATATTTTGAGAATCATATACATTTAATCTCAACTCCAAATTACTGTTCACCAAAATCCTATATGAACTTACCACAGTGTGTTGATTTCTAAATTCCCACCAAATCAATATTCCAGAAACTTGTTGCCTAGAAAAAGCAAAAGGTGCCATAAGAAAAAAAATAGAATAACCAAACAGAAAGTTTTGATGCCTTGTCTGAACTTTTTCTTGTGTTTTGGTCCACAAATATGCATTCTTCTTGTTTGAGTTTAACATTTTTTAAGACAAATATTTGATTACTTTCAATTTGAAAACCTATTTCCACCTGTCTTAGCAGTGTGTATTAAATTATTAAAAATATTTTGCAAATGATGTTTAAAATAAATTTCAGAGTCCAACATGCCTACTGCCTGCAGCAGATGGGCCGTGAGAAAGAGGCTGCTACGATGTATCATAATGTGCTAAAGGAGAAACCAAGCGACCAGGCATTAGTTGCTATTGCTAGCAACAACCTTGTCGTCATCAACAGGTTACAACCTATATTTTTAATTTAAAAACTTCATTATTGCACAACTAATCAGTATAAAAAAACTCATAACAGAACCTTAAAAAAGTAAGCCTATTCTTACCTCAAAGGTACCACTTATGTCTCCTCTGGTGTTGCAAGTATCTATGGGTTTTCCATAAAAAAATGCTTAGTTGAGCAATAATGTAAATTGATGGAACTATACACTGTGATAATCTGTTAGTAATTATTTATTGTGTTAAATTCAATATTGTCATTATGCATGTATGTTCAGGGATAGCAACGTGTTCGATTCGCGGAAGCGCATGAAGGCTGCAACTGCTGATGGGCTGGAGAATAAACTAAACTCGCGCCAACGCGCTGCCATCGTCTACAACCAGGCCATATTGGCAATCTACTCCAACCAGGTACTTTGTTATATAATCAGATTAATGTGTTGTTAATTAATTCACATGAAATTTATTTTTCTCATTACCAAAATAATAAATACATAATATAATACACAGTCAAGGAATTTGACATATTAAATTTAAAATTACGTTCATGCTCTGGACTCTAGCTTGATATTGCTAGTGGATGGTAAAAATATTGCGTGATGATCACAGTGCTATTCTTGTTTAAGCATGTATATCTAAAAAATATATTTATTTACAATAAAAAATGATGTCTAAGCATGTTTTAGTTACCTAATACCCAAAGTACTGGTGCTTAGTTTGAGATTACATCACATTGTATAAAAATGTTTTGTAAAATATTTTTTTATTTATTCAGCCAGACTTCTGCAAGCAGTGCTGCGTGAAGCTGTCCCGTGAGTTGAAACAGGAGCAGCGCGCTGCGCTCGTAGAGGCGGCCTCTTTGGCACGTGAGGGCCGCAGCCAGCAGGCGGTGGCACTGCTGGTCAAGCAAGGTGGCATGCTGACCCTCGCCGCTGCGCAGCTGCTGCTGGCACAGGTGAATGAACGGATGATCTTTTTTTTATTTGACAAAGTGGCAATCGAGCTGGCGGTACACCTGATGTTAAGCGATATCCGCCGCCCGTGGACATTTGCAACATCCGTAGGGTTGCAAATACGTCGCCACCTATAAATAAAGTGGGCTCCATCTACTTGGTAGATTCCTTTTGCAATATACTCTGTCCTGTGAGCACATGTGCTGCAAAACGTTTGAAACAGCAAGTAAAAATTTAAATAAAAGTGATATAGAATTCCTGTATATATTTAAATAATTTTGCACCATTCGTTCAGAGGTGTTGAACACTTTGCTAAACGATACGAGCCAAGGCACCGTTCCCGTCGCATGGTCGCGGCACTAGACAGAAGCGCTCAACAATTTTATCAGTTGACCCATACAAATGTGCCGCAGTTTGTGAAGGTGCTCATATGATTCAGTCAGAAGTGCTCAACCCTTGGCTAAACGATGCGAGCGAAGGTACCATTCCCATCGCACGGTCGCGGCACCAGTCAGACCTGTTTTATCCACCCGTGCTCTTACACCATTCGGCCAGGTGTCTTCAATCAATGGCTTAAAGAAACGTCGTGGCACTAGTCAAAAATGTTCAACTGTTTTATCGACCTGTGCGAATTCGCCGCGATCTCGCTCCATTTGGTCAGGGGTATTCAATTATTGGCTTAAAGAAACGTCGTGGTACTAGTCAGAAGTGCTCAACCGTCTTATCGACCTGTGCGAAAATTCCGTGCTCTCGCACCATTCGGCAGGGGTCTTCAACCGTTGGCTAAGCGAAACGTCGTGGCACTAGTCAGAAATGCTCAACTGTCTTATCGACCCGTGCGATCTCTCACCATTCGGCCAGGGGTCTTCAACCATTGGCTTAAAGAAACGTCGTGGTACTAGTTAGAAGTGTTCAGCTGTTTTGTCCACCCGTGCGGACGCGCCACGGTCTCGAACCATTCGGCCAGGGGTCTTCAACCATTGGCTAAACGAAACGCGGTACCAGTCGAGCCCGGGCCGGCGCGGGCCTCTTGTCCGGCCAGGGGCGCTCACTGTGCGGCCGGCAGGCGGGCGCGGCGCTGCGCGAGGTGTGGCGCGCCGCGGCGTCGGTGCACGCGCGCGCCGGCGCGGCCCGCGACGCGGCGGCGGCGCTGGAGGCGCTCGCGGCCGGCGACCCCGCCGACGAGCGCGGCCGCGCGCGACTGGTCAAGGCGCTGGCGCCGCTCGACCCCGACCGGGCGCGCGCCCTCGCCGCCCACCTGCCGCCCATACTCAAGCAGGTGAGCTTTTATTTCTTTTTTTTTTTTTTCAATTTTCTCGGCGCTTGACCTTGACCGCTGCCGCAGAAGCGATAATCATTTTACCCTTCCGTTTTTTTTTTTTTTTTTTTTTTTTTTTTAATTTATAATCAACGTCTCAGCACTTGAGCAATTTCGACAGTAGTAGAGAGTCGCACAGTTTTTTTACATTCACATGTTTATCCAAAAAACATTTTACAATCAACGACACAGCATTTGAGCACTGCGTCAATTTATTCAGCTGTGAGAGTATCAAGTTATATATTGATGAAGTCATTAAGGTAAAATTTGAATGGCACATGTGAGAGTAGATGCCATTACCGTTTGTTTTTACGGAAAGTTTACAATCAACCTCGTAACACATAAGTACTACAGGAATTAATTGAAATGGTACGTTTGATATCACACATTCCAGTGTTTTTTATCGTTTTTCATTCTTGTATTGTATCTTTCGTCGTTATTACATGTGTCAAATAAATAAATTTTCTTTATTTTTATATATTTTTTCCCCGATTGATTCAATCGAATAATCAGTAGAAGAAAAACACGATTCATGGGCGTTAGAAATAGTCCTCAGACTATTTCTAACGCCCATGAACGTGTTTTTCATAGTCATCGATATACGATGGAGGGCACATAATACTTTTTTCTTACGTGAGCATTTCTACCATCTCAGGTTCAGTTAAGGAACTTCATTCCGAAATTGTTTGGGTCCTTCAATTTTCTTAACACACTATTGAATTTTGTTCAGGAAATTGATGGACATTTGGAAATCTCAGTGTCTTTAAAGCGTCGATCCTATCGCAGGGCCAAATAGACATCGAGGCACTGGAGTCCTCCAACTGGATGATGGGCGCTAAGGTCGTCAAGAAAACGGTACAGAGCAAACAGGAGCAATCGCCCGGGTTAGTGCCAAGGCTTTTTTTTTTCTTTTTTAAAACATTGCCTTGACTTTAGGACAACATTATCCTGTTATAAGGACGTATTTACATACATAAATTTCACTTGGACAAACACCCAGATGCGAATCAATTCTTATTAGTCTTCTACCGCCACTACGCCCATCGGGGTAACCCGGGTAGTGGGTAGTGAACATGCCTCTTGCACCAGATTGTGTGTTCAATTCTCACTACTGGAAAAATAATGTATGATGAACATAGTGTTTTTTAAATAATGTCTATAGAAGCTAAAATAATCTGTTTTGAAATCATTAAAGTAAAAAAAATATATAAGTATTTAGAGTTATATAGTTACGTGCGATAACGCGACAATCCTCATGTCAGACAATAAAGCGGCTGGGCCGTTCTTTCTCCTCCCAGAACTCCCGGCTCCGAGCTGGGGCAGAAGATGAAGGCGAAGAGGAAGCGCAAGACCAAGCTGCCGCCCAACGCTGACCTCTCCAGGCCACCGGATCCGGAGAGGTGGGGGGTCATGTTAAATTGAACAATGGAGTATTTATACGATTAATGAGTGAATATGTGCAATAAAACTAGCGAGTACCTAATGAATGAACGTATGAAAGGAATGGAAGGAATGAAATGAACGATTGAATGTATCTAATGGAACTATCGAATGATCAAATAAGTTTTTTTTGTACGAAAAGTTGGCATTCGAAGACAAAAAATCAGCCCCAAATGATGCAGATGTGTTGCCAGCCTTTAAGAAGGAGTGGTGAGGGTCGTACTTCTATGAGTCCGTGGTAGTTCTTCGTGTTTATTACTATCTCATAGTTCCAATCAAATAAGCCAAATTTATGCTAGATAACATCAACTATTTCGATGCTATAATTACTATTTACACCATTACTTAGACACTCGTCTCAACGTACTCAAGTGCACCAATTGCAGGGATATTTTTTTAACACTGTCCTTACTGTAAGATAACATTATCCCATGTTGTAAGAACATTTGACATGCATAAATTGGGTGGACAAATAGCCTTGTGATAAAGTGGCAAACGAGCTGGCGGTTCACCTGATGTTAAGTGAGAACCGCTGCCCATGGCAATGCACCACCTTTGCAATAGGGTTGCAAATGCGTTGCCGCCTTTAGATAAAGTGGGCCCCGGCTACCTCATTCACCAGACGAAACGCAGAAGTGTCATACTTCTACTTTACGCCGTCTTCTGTGAGGTCGTGGTAATTACCCGGACGGACCTGCCCATTCGTACACCAGTGAACACTGTGGCCCTACCACAGTTAAGCCTAGCCAGGGGATGCTTATAACGCTCTTTTTTTCTCGTATTCTTAAAATCGCGGCCCTTACTGCAGCATAACATTACCCTGAATCGCAAGAGCGTTTTACAAACCCAATATTTCACGTGGACAATCTCCCAGATCTGAAACAATCAATTTCGGGTCACACAATTAGTTGTCCCGTGAAAACCGCTACCCGCGGCGCCGAACCTAATGCCTTGTTTAATCGAAACAATGAATGGGTCGCACAAATAGTCGTCCCGCGTGGGAATCGAACCCGCTACCCGCGGCGCCGAGCCAATAGCTCGTCCAATGCGCCACGCAGTCACTAACCCGTTCCCTTCCGGCAGGTGGCTGCCCAAGTACGAGCGCGCCGCGTTCCGCAAGCGGCGGGGCGGGCGCAGGGGGGAGGTCATCAAGGGCAGCCAGGGCATGAGCACCGCCGCGGTCGACGCATAGTCAGTGCACCAAACCTCTTCTCTAGCAACACATTGCCTTCGCCAACCTTAAACCTTTGGCGATCGTCGGGAAAACCTTTGAAATAATCTGTTATCATTTAGACTATACGCAAGTAAAAATCTCCCCCTTGCCTAGTCAGTGCAGCGAGCCTATACACCTCTCACAAAACCCCGAAAGAGACGGCCTAAGTGGACGAACGGAACGCGAAACTACAAACCTGCCCGGACGTGTCGCCAACCTAATACGCAGACCTTTGGCGATCGTCGGGAAAACCTTTGAAATAATCTGTTATCATTTATACTATAAGCAAGTAAAAATCTCCCCCTTGCATAACGAGTGCAGCGGGCCTCTACACCTCTTATAAAACCCCGAGAGTAGGCCTCGGTAGACAAACGGAACGCGAAAGTAGAAACCTGCCCGGTCGCGTGCGTACGCGTCGCCAATCCAATACGCGGATTTATGGCGTCAGGAGAACCTGATTTTATTCAGACTGTACGCAAAAAACTCCCCATTTAGATCGGTCCTGTCTATGGTCCGGGTATTCCCCGGAATCTAGCGTTGTTTCCTGATACGCAATAATTTGAGGCACTGCCATCTATTTCATTTTTTACTATATTATACCTACAATACACAACGGCCTTAATTCATCGTACATTTGACGCGTTCAAAATTTAAATTAATATAATGCCAATCAACCACCAAGCTGCACGGTTTGGCAAACAGCCGTTCGATTCCCGCAGCAGCGAAAAACTTTTCGGCCTATTTTTTCCTACAAATTTTATAATAAACACTTTGAATGGAACGCGTCAAGAAGTTTATATGGTAGTTTATGACGCAACTTTGAACCCGTCCCCACCAGCGACATGAGCAAGCAGACGCCCAGCGCTGGCGCCGCTGCCGCCGCCGCCAAGAGCCCACGCGTCGAGCACAAGGCCGCAGAAAGCGCCTGGCAGAGGAAGCAGCAGCAGAAGAAGAAGGGCAAGGGCCGCAAGTGGTAGCCCGACCACACGTCACACAAAAACCAATAAATACCATTTTCTGTTCGAAAGCGTTTCATTCACCCAAGTGGTAGCCCGCCGCACGTCACATAACAACCAATAAAAACCACATTAGGTTCGAAAACGTTTAATTCACCGAAGTGGTAGTACACCATATGTGTAACAACCAACAAATACCATATTCTATTCGAAAGAGTTTCACTGATCCCATCCCGCTCTTATGCAAGCGCGTCAAATCAAAACAAAGCTTTGCGTACCCTTGTCACATATAAAAACGACCAAATTACTTTAAGGCACAATAAGTTTACAGTTATCGTTTACAAATGTAAATGATAACTTTACTAGAACTCGTGACTTTCCGTGTTTATTGAGTTACGCGCCACCTATTGTTTTTGTTAACTTTGCGAAGAACACTCTTGTCTCGAGTAAAACATCGCAGCACTCTTCGACAACGGCTTCCCATAGGCAAAGTTGTGTCCTTCCATATTACTTATTTCTCATACAACGCATCTTGTAATGTGAAGTCTCGTGCAATACATAGTAAAAATTTGTGTTTGTCCGTATTGAAAAGCCGTCTCAAATCGAAATCGCTTGCAAATGGTCGACTTGTTTTGTCAGATTGATTGACTAATTAAAGTTTCAGAGTTGTAAGTAAAAACGCTATTTTGTTTCAATTGTTTTTCTTGGTGCAAGTGATTAAATGATTTTCTGTCTTCAAGTAATTATTTAGTTAATTTACTGTTAAATGAAAAATCTGTGCTGGCAGTGTGTTTAATTTGCTTTTGCAAACTTTTTGTGAATACAACGGGAGCATTCTTTTCACAAAGTTTTGTGAGAATTATAACAGCTAGCTATCAGATTGTGTACACAGAAATTGAAAGAAAAAATATTTGAACCTTAACAACGAAGTGTAATATAATGTAAATAAAATGCGCTGAGATTTTCTTTGGTGTGGCAGTCAGCTGTTTAGCTTCATGGTAACATCTTGTCATTTTATCAATATTTAAGGGTTTATTAGTAGGTAGGTATGTAAAAAAATCGAACAAATGTTGAGAGTAACTTTATTTAGACATTAAGAATAACTTCACCTTAAAATATTATAATTATCTTTTCGCATTCTTCCTCTTTGATTTGCCCGGCCTCTGATTTTTCTTCTTATTATTAGGCTTAAAGTTTTTCGTTTTAAAATTGAAAGGTTTCTTCTTAGCCGAACTATTGAATCCGTCCATTTGGTTTGTCGATTCACGCGTGTTTAACTTAGAGCCTTTCTTTTTGCCGCCAAAACCAAACTTTTTGTCCTTTTGCGCGCGCTTTTTAGACACTTTACTCCTTGGATCTTTGCTATTGTTAGACTTATTGTTATTTTTGCCCTTATTATTATCTTCTAAGAAGTCTAAATCTGATGATTTTCCTTTCCTGACCCGTTTTAGTTGTTCGAGCATGTGTTTTTTGCCAGCCGCTTGTTTAAGTTTTGTGTCAATCTAGAATTAAAAAAAGTGATGACATGCCATAAAATGCATGCAATGCTGCATCATATGATGGTATGATATTCAAAAGTATATCGCACCTTTAGAATTAAAGGGACCTAATTATGAAAATGACTTACTTTGGCTTTATGTCAGGAATCGACCTAAAACGACCACCTTTTTCGAATCCTATTAAAACATGGGCCAATTTTAGAAAGCTACATAACGTATACTTCTGTCTCTTTCACTTCCCTACAATTAGCGCGTTTGTTCATAAGTTCCATAAATCCTTATTTACGTTTCCAAAAAATTTATATTTTTAAATGGGTCACTATAATTCTAAAGGTGCGAATATAAAGTGGTGCATTCATTTTACAGATACTTTTTAATTCCTTAATATTAAAGCAATTATGTAGGGCCTTATATGGAGCTATATAGCCGGGGCTAATTCAATCTGACATCAAATTGGCACAAATCAAACTTCATTGTAATTTTAAGTATTGATATTGTTGGTAGAGCTAAACATTAACTATGTTAAAACTAACTAAGGAAACCTGCATATCTGAAATATTCTAAAGATCAAAAAGGAGATAATACTATCTGAACAGCAAATGCAACATTGCCCAGCAATAGGTAATATACCTTAACGTTATTATAATATGCATTTCTTACGGTTAGAGTTTATAATTAATATCGCTTCCCTGACGAAATACTAGTTTATCCGCTCGACTTGAGTAAGTCCCACGATATACTTACCGCCTAACTCCATAATGTCGAAGTGTACATTAAAACAAGCAACCCACTAAAACCCAACTAAATACATAAAGCAAGTAAATAAGCATTGAAACAAAAATTGTTACGCTACAAAAATGTTAGTGCGTTACAGCTAGTTTAAAATCTAATATTTTTATTAGTGTAAAATAATATCCATCACCCTAATAATAATAAAAACTTCGCTCTATTCACGTGCCAAACTGTAAATATAGCAAAATTATTATTATTATTCTCGGTAAAATTCTTTCAGACACTCGATATTATTTTACCTGCACGCGTTTGGCAATTTTCTTTTGTTCCCTTAGCTGACGCACTTTCTCTGTGCGAGCTTGTGCCGCCTGTTTGGCCATTAGGTTTTTGCGAACTTTCTGCATGTGCTCATCGGATTTGGCCATCTCGGCGAAATAGTCATCTGGTCTGAAAATACATTACGATATGGAGGCGGCTGCCGGTGGGCTCTGCGCCAGGTGGGGACGCGGTAGAGCGCCGAGGCAATTTAGGAAAACGGTGCGATCGGAGCGGGGTGGCGAAGGAAGATCTATTGGGGAGTGGTAACATGTTACGTTTCATCCTTCCCATCCCAACACTTTGTCTAGGCCCCACCGTTGATAAGACAGAACTCACAAGGGAGGGGGGAGCCGCGAAAGGCCGCAAACAAAATCATCAGCTGGAAGCCAAGAGTCCCTGAGGTTCCGGACAGGTTGGAGATTCCAACTTGAGAGCCGTTAAGAAGGCCCGCTTTAATTATCTGCACACTTTACTTGCCAAAAACCATAATCCATTTCCAGAAGGCTGTATGAGATGGGAAATACTGGTATCCCTGTGACACTACAAATAAGCAGTGCTTGCAGAAACATTTTGTGACTTTCAGTTAAATCAATATTACCATTTCTCGATCCGAAGTATCACTTCCACTGGTAGAAGAATGAAAAAGTTTCCAATTTTACTGTTGTTCGTTTAAATTTAAGGCTTGTAAAACAAAATCTATTACAGTGATCAACAAAATAAACTAAAAGGAAAAACAGATGAATTATACTTTTTATATTTATCAACACTTAAGCAGGCTTTGAGTTATGCAAAAGAGATTTTTATTTGCCACAACTATAATATAAATATATTGTTGGATAGAAAAACTGACATTCAAAACAAACATACATTACACATACAATTGTGTATAGAAATTTTCATCAGTCACACATAGAGGTAGTCAAAGATACTAAAGATATTCTTATCATTACACAGATTGTAAATAGACTACTAGAATATTTTATCACTATTAATTTTGCTCTTACGTTGTATTCATCTCTTTCCCATCTTTTGAAAATGCATAAAAACTGTCAGATTTTAGACTTAATGCGAGAAGCACGCTGGCAATTCACGTTATATTAAGTGATAACCACCACCTATGGACATTTGCAACACCCGTAGGGTTGCACATAAGTTGTCTTTTAATAAAGTGGGCTCTAGCTATATCACTTACCTGAGTTCCACTTCACACCGGTGAGGTGGATTTTGTGATACCTACCAAGATGGACCTGCCCATTCGCGCAAAGGAGACTGTAGGGCCACACTACCACATTTAATCTTCCACATCTATACACCTATTTTTCGTGTCATCCCTCGACTGACTTTGCCAATCACCTTTTAACAACAAATCATAATTTCTCTTTATTCTTTAAATCAGAGAAGCATTTCCTCTCAACTTTCCTTCCAATATCTTGAAAAAGAAAAACATTCACCAATTGTCATTTTCACAAAGTGGATTTTTTAAATTCCTCAAAACCAGCCTGTGGTTAATACTTGTATATTCTTAATATCTAATCACATATAACACAACATCTATTGAACTTTTAGTTCGCTATTATTTCACGGCCCCACCTTCTTGTGGTGACATTTAGTTCCTTCAGCCTGTTAATGCCATCGGTAACTGCAGCCTGTGCCTGACGATGAATTAGGTTCTCTCTCTTAAACTCATTTAGGATGGGGTCTTGGGTGGGGTCATACGTCTGATGACCCTTAGTGTTCTCCTTTATGTTTCTAAATTAGAGCAAAAAAACAGAAGTTCAAATGATAAAATCAAGTGAAATACAATGTAAAAATGGGATAAAATGCCTATGCCAGGTGTTAACATCAGTAAATCTGGTTTCATTTATTTTAGGTGTTAACAAAATCTGACATACTGTCAAAAGTAAGAGAGAAATATGGTAAAAATTTGATCTCTTCCTCCTTATTCCACATTTAAGCATGGTAGGAATATGCAACAGCTGTTGCACAAATGAACATGCCTATCCAGGAAGGTACCGGTAGGGCAGTGTGAAGTGGAAATATTATAATTTATGTTTCACCTGTTAAGTGACACAGCCCGTTTTTTTAAAGGTTGATAACATATCTGCAAGCCCTCAGGTGTACACATAGCCATAGGAGGCAGTATTCATTTAACATCAGGTAAACTGCCTACTCGCTTGATTTTAACATAATTGTCATATACAACCTAAAAATTATACAAGATTTTTTAAGAAGTGCCCAAACTTACACAGGAGGTTCAGACTCAGTAGTATAATCGTTTATTGAAATAAAAAACAGGTTTTTCTTTACAAAAAAAATGCCATTCTATTCCCTAAAAACAAAATGTGTTGAAAATGCGGTAGTCATTCATAAATACCTAAATTTTACTGGGCAAACTTGTGTGCGTGTTAGTTATGAATGATCGTGTGTAAAATAAATGAGTTGCATATTAATCACGCACTTTTTGAGATAAGTTCAAATGAATGTAATTAATGAATTACGAGTAATTTTAAATATTTATCATTTTTTATAGAACATTATTTATGTCTAGAATTTAATAAAAAAAAATGGATACACTTAGAAAAGCCACCCTGTATATATATATATAACATAATATAAAAAGTATGTATTATATAACATAAGATTTTGTTAACTAACTTTCTTCGCTGAGCTGTATCTTGTATCTGGAGCGCAACATCAGGAGCCATTGGAGCAACTGAAGTAACTACGTCCAGTTTTTCTATCCATGGTAAACTAAGCTCGATCTGTCTTAGTTTTTCCCTTAAATCCGCCACATTATTAACATAATCCTTGTAAATAGCTTTCTTCATTTCCTCCGTTAGTCCTGGCTTAATAAACCCTTTGCAAAAAGCTTCTTGTAACTTGAAACAAAATTGAATATTAATAAATACATCTTATATATATAATTCTACTGTACGTATATATTTCACTGAACTCCTGGCTGGACCGATTTTAATGAAATTTTTTGCATCGTCGCTAGTACTATATATAAATAGCTTTAAACGTAAAATGTTGATCAAGCAATGAATAAAGAATAATACCTCCTCATCGGAATCTACGTCCGTTTCACTGTCGTTTATAACAAACTCCGTCATTTTTAAAATAATATCACTTCAACCTATAATAATCAAAGCAATGTTATAAATTTATAACCTCTTTCAAAAAGAAAACCGAAAACGTGCACTGACAGCTAGAATTCAGTGTTACCACTTACTAACTACAAAAAAGTATCCATAAACCACAGAAGCAGAACACTAATACTCTCGCGTGAAGAACGACAACTCCATACTTTTGAAATACGCACATGGTGCCCACTAGCGCTCCAGTGTATGTATCCAAACTAACCCATATCGCGGGATCAGGAATATAAGAAATAATAGAATGTAGGCACTCATTAGAACGTTGTCGTGTATTCAACTTTATCGAGTTATCACGTTATTAGTTCAGATTGCTACTTTCCTAATTAATGTATATGAATAAAGTAGATACCAAAAAAACATATTTTAAACATTCTTTACAAAGCCGAACACAAATCATACTTCCTTTCCCTGCCACTATCACTTATCCTTATTGTACAGTTTAAGATTTAAATTAAAATAATAAAAACTTCAATATCGCAAAGGAGTGCTTATCTCATGAAGCACAACACTATCTCCACTAAAAACACAAAAATCGCAATAGTCTCTTTCCTATCACTAGATTATCAGGATCAGTTCACTAAAATTAACACAACACAACAAAACAAAAAAAACACCCAAATGCGAGTCGGACTCGTGCATAAATGGTTCAAAATCGCGCATGAAGGGGTATGTTGTATTGCAGCTCCACTTCAATATTTTTTATGCTGTTTTGTAGTATTTGTTGTTATAGCGGCAACAGAAATACATCATCTGTGAAAATTTCAATTAATTAGCACGGTTCATGAGATACAGCCTAGTTACAGACGGACAGCGGCGTCTCAGTTATAGGGTTTTACCCTTTGTGTACAAAACCCTAAAACCTGCTCAACGAACAAAACAAAAACAAAACAACAATCGACCATACTTTTTAGTCAGGGTGTTGCCTTATTATAATCATAAATCCTTCAATGGGAATATCAAAATATTGTTAACCATTGATTTCACGGGTTCATAATAAAGTATTTAGAATATTAAGAAGGCATATTATTTTTCATTTATTTTAAAATATATACAAATTCTTTGTTATTAGCTGTCCTATTTATAGTTCACAATTGGTAAAATCTACCTAAATAGAGCTTCTTCCAGAATGGTAACTGTATAACTCTGTTTATACTCAGGATGAAATAACCGTAAATGCAAATTTAAGAAGCCTCAATAAAAACCCTGCATTGTAAGATATTATTTAAATTTGTTTTTATAAAATATATATTTAAATTTATAAAATATCATTCATACTTATATTCTTTAAGAGACATTAGCTTTTTTTACTCATTTTGTGCAGTCAAAATAGTGATGCATAAAATATTATTCATGTCTAAAACTGACCCTAAACTTTTTTGCACCCTGCTAGACGTTCCTCAAAAGGTAAAAAAACCCCTTAGATCATTCCCTTGTCTATCTATATAAAAATCAAGGTCAACACTATAAAAGATATAGGTAAACTTAAATTTTCGTGAAAAGTTTTAACTGCCAAATATACCTTAATTTTGAATTTTTATATTTTTCGGAGTCATTCCTTTTCTTGTTATATAAGACCTTGCTTTTTGCCAAATTTACAGCACAAATAAAAGAAAAATTCCATACAAACATAGTTGACGCCAATTAAGACCTCTGAGTTGTATGGGTGCTCATACAAATACAATTACATACTAGGTACGGAACCTCTCGTGTGCGAGTCCGACTCCCACTTGGCAGCACTTGGTCCGCCATGCAGAACTGTGAAGCAGGATGTAGCCCACAAACTGTTCTGCATTGCCATCCATCATTTTTTTTTTGTTATTAGATAAAAATTAAAAAGGGTGTAGGAAAAGAAATTATTAAAAATTTCGTCAGTGAAATTTAGTTATTCCTGTGATACACTAATAAAAGATATTGATTCAGACGCCTATCGAAATTACCTGAGACTGAACCTTTCAGTATTTGCTTAAAAAAGTAACGCCGATGATGCATAATAGTATTTCTGACGAACAAAGTCTGACATTACGATTTTTAGCTAGAGGCAGAACTTATAAATGAACGGTCATTACATACATACTACATTACTACTTTGTATTTTTCATTAAGTAATTTTTCAGTAAGTCTATCGAATTGCTTTATTGAGTCTGTATACTGCAGATACTTGTGTGAATGAGAAATTTAATGTTCTTGTACCGAGAAGAGGCGATGCAGCTGTAGATGTCATATGGCCCGGAAAGTTGGGATTAACTTGATGAAACTTTACTAATTTTGAATTCAAGCTTTGTGTAAAATATAGAGTTTGTTGAGATGTCGTTCGTGTATGGAGGCTAGGCTTTGAGAAGTACTGACAATCGGATTTTCTTTGGTGTTGGTGTACGCAAGGGTGGTAATGGAGACGTTATAATGATCGGAGAAATTTACGAAGAATTTTGATAAGGACTTAGTTCATCTTTTTTTCTTCATATGACAACACTACCGCTACGCCGGACGTTATACCACTGACAGTTGACACTCCTGCGCGGCGGACTGCAAGCGGTGGGCGGAGCTTGCAGGATTCAAGGCGCGTCCTGCTCGGTGTTGCAAGTCAGTTGCCATTTATTTGGGAAAAAACACTACTAATAATTATTATAAATAACTTATACATGAACTTGTTAACTTTCCTCTAATAGGAAAATCATAAATGAACAGAAATATAAAGTACCATGCCATACCATGACGTCTGCATTCCACTGCAAGGACTGAAAAGTCGGAAAAGTTTTTTAAAATACTACTACCTAAAAAATACAACTGAGCCATCTTAAGCGAGATGCCTCATGTGGCGGACTGAAACGCTAATTCCGCACCCCTATGTGCCGCTTTCTAAGAGTCTTTTGGTTGGGCACAGATTACAATTGCCAATCTGGATGACTTTAAAAAGACTTCGGACTCAGGTTGGCCGAAGCAAGGAAAATATGTTCAGGTGGGGACTCTACGAAAACCCAAACATGAACTGTGTGTGTAGAGCAGTGACTCCATGGGGCAACTGGTATTCTGACCTGACTACTCTTTAATCTGTTTGCAGCAGGATTTAATGGACGCCAGAAATTGTGTAATGGAAGTGGCTAAGTTCTGGGTCGGTAAGATTTAATTTGTCATCAACACGCTAAGAAGAAGAAAAAATGGATATAGTTAATAAGTTTCTTTGTCTCCTTGTATTGTAGATTGCCGCACTATTTTATAAGGATATGTGCCTGTAATTATACTTCAAAGTTTTGTAAATAAATACTTTTGCCAAATATTTTTAATATGGTCTATGGCACATTAATATAGAACGTTTGCATTTTGATTCATCGGTTTTATTATTTACAAATTGACTGAATAAATGTTATTTGTCTGGTTTATTACTATTTCTCCTACTATAGTTAATTTACCACTTAAACAATATTTAAAACAAACGTAATTTTTCAACAAGGAACTTCATCGTTATTTTAATTATGATCGCGTTCACTAATCTAAGAACTTAAAAATAAAAAGTAAATTTGTCTATTACTTTTATAAGTATAAATGTTTGGTTATGGTAAACTCAAAGACAAACGTATAGAGAAGTTAGTGCATTGGTGTCTATGATAAAAGAGATTCGCAACAGCTACTTTTTATTTTAACAATTATATTTAGCCTTAACTTTGTACTGCACAAGGTATAAACAGCTATATTTATTATTAACACATATAAAAATTATTCACCTCGATTAATTTTAATTTCGGTCTAAAATTTTATAAAAATTTGAAAGATATTTGACCGGAAGTACTAGGTATTTAGACATGTTCCGTGAAACCCCCCGTTGTTTTGTATCAAGAAAATGCAATGGCCGCCATCTTCGACTCTTGTGAATGTTTTGGTCGTAGTTTCGGACTTTGAGGCCTATTTCAAATGTGATATGAAATTATTAGAAGGGATCGGTTTCGCTACATCATAGGTGTTATTAATTCGTTCGCATAAAGGTTAGTACGCAGTTTCTTCAGTATTTTCTTTAAAAGTGTTTACATCTGGATTTCATAGCATAACTTTTGTGATGTTGTCATTTTTACAGAATATTAAGTATTTTCCTTTGAAAGTTTCCTACTTTTGAAAGATAACTTCCAATATTTAATTCATTATTGTTTGGTTAAAATGTTATTAAGATATGAAGCTCCTTCTACTATGTACTTATATTTTCCATGTCTTTGTTGCTAAGCGGAATTAGTTAACGTAATAAGACTTTGTTTTTGACCACCTAAACAAAATTTTCACTTATTTTCATTACAATTTTCAATTCTGATTAGTGTTTACTTTTGTGATGTTTAGAGACATTTCAGTTTTCATGCCACAATAATGGCGGCAGTGAATTTTAACCTATCTATTTATTTGGATCTTTTTAGCCGATCCAACGCCTATGTTGCGATTTATTTTTGTGTTATTCTATATTATTTCCCGTAGGAAACGAAATAAAGAGACTTTCGACTATTTTCTGGAACAATGACCTCGAATGTCTTATAACATTTGTGGACTAAAAATATTTTGCTATGAGCGTAATGATGTACAACACGCTAATTTGTGAGGATTACGAAGATGTGCGGGTAAAAAGTCGATTTTCGATTGCAGTCACCTAAATAAGTTTGGAGGCCTAGGGGCACTCCAACGCGTCATCTGGGGCCCCGACCCAAGATGGTATTCACAGCATGTCTGCTACATCAGAATATGAACCTGTGGCCCGGCAAGTGAGTACTGTGTTTCCCCCACATCATACTCTGTAAATTAACCATTAATTTAAAGCATATTTTTCCAATTATGATACCCAACTAAATGTCAGTGTACATGTTTTAACATTTTGTGTAGTGGTTATATATAGTAATTTTGTGTATTAACATTTCATCACTTTTGACTCTTAAATATTCGTACCAGCAATTCATTACCAAGCAGGAAAGAGTTTACAAGAAATAAAGATTTTTTAAATAAAACTGTGGTTTTTGTATACCTGTTTTAGTTTTATCTTTTATATTAGTTGATGAGGAGGACTTATTATTTTATAATTTATAAATATAATACTAATCTTAGTAATAGTTTATCAATGTTATGGTTGAATGAGGGCATTTGATATGGTTTGTCACTGCAATGCTTAAGTACTTACAATATTATGTTGATTGTATGATAATACATTCATTTTATAGAAGACATTAGGAATGTTACACTATAGTCATAATAGAGACATATAGGTAAAAGAAATTTGACATCATATCATTGATATTTAATTTTATAATGTAAAATAATTTTATAAATTGTTTATAATAATTCCTATAATATTAAAGTACATTATTATAATTATTATTTTAAATTGATAAAATATTTGTTACAGGATTACGGGCCGGCCACCTCCAGTGAAAATATATATGAACATGTTTTGGACCAAAAACTAACAGATAATATGAATGTTCCAAGTATTAGAACTCCTGTTTTAAGGACTGTTCCTTTATCATCTTCAGATGGAGACCCTGAGCCTGACTCTACTAATCCAGAAAGCATTATTCAATCTATACACAAAGTAGACAAAGAAGTAGGATTCCACATTAGTGAGAAGCATTGTGAAGCTGAAATGTCTGTAGACTCCTTATCAAGAATTGTGAGATTAGAAGAAACCACTTTAGACAATGTGGGTCGCATAACCTACCCCATATTGCAAGAAACTGATGATTCGGGTGATGGAAACTATGTAGATAATGCAGCTACTCTTATACAGGCACCATTAAGTACAGCAATTGTGCAAAATGTCACTAAACTCCCGCAAAACTTTACTATTAATGTTGATGCTGCAGTTGGCAATATAACTGCTATACAAAATGTATCTCAAGATGTTGTGGGTAACCCGACATTATGGTTGCCTACAATTCTTGCAACCAGTGCTGCACCAGATAAGAATGAGGAAGACCGGACACCAGGCAGTGTATCACAAATCATAATTACCAGTGAAAGTTATGTTAATGATAGTAATCCAACGGGTAGAAGAACCAATATCATAACTGAAACAAACTACATCAGTCGGCCAAAGTCATCAAAAGTTCAGATTTTAAGCAACATTTCTCTTCCAAAGGGTACAAATTACTCTCAACAATACATATCACAAGGGAAAGAGATTACCTCACCTGTTTATGGAACACAGAATCATGTTTATAAACTAAGTGCAAATGTTGTTTCCCAAAAGCACTTGAATAATTCTGTTTTGAACATAAAGCCTCCAAAAAGTCAAAGTCTAATTGGTTGTTCATCACATTCACCAACTGTAATTAATAACAGCCCTATTAAAAATGTCTCTTATAGCCACACTTATGGCAAAAGCACAAATTTAAGCAAAGCATTGAATAAGGTAAATAATGGTGCTAATTTAAATACTATGGTAGCAGCTTCATCCGGCAATACACAGTGCCATATTTTATCTCGTGTTGTGTCGGGTCCAAATAAAATGTCTGTCCATTCTGGTAGAAAATCTGTAAATACGTTTAAAAATTCGAAAAACTCAAGCCAAAACTCTGGTCAGAAGGATCAATCAAGAGCAATAAAAATAATTCAACAGGCAGGTGCATCTCATAAATCTGAAGGAAAATCTTGGCCTGTTGCTAGTGTAACATATAAAGGTGTTATGGAATCAAATACTTCCAAAATTATTCAGAAAGTGGGAAGTCCAGCACAGAAGAATCAGTCAATGTCATTACAAAAGGTGTCAAAAGGCGATCGTTTGGTACTCCAATCTCCTTGTGGCCCAGTACTGCTATCAACTGCACCCATCAATATGAACTTACCCAAAGGTCCCCACTATGTGCAATCTGGATCAACTCCAAACTTGAGATATGTTCAAACATATGCTCCAAATGATAACCAAATGTCTACAGTTTCTCAAGTATCTGCCAATCAGCAGCTTACTGAACAAATATTGCAGTCATTGAGTCAACCAAAGCTCATGTTGCATCAAAATCCAACATCTGTTAACCATACATTAATTGCTACACCAATTTTTGAGGATCCTTTAGAAATAAAACCATTGAATCAAAGAAGGATTATTTTGTAAGTAACATACAACTTACATTCGTTTAAGTTATGATTTTTGGCAAGGGACTAGATATTAATTGTATATTTCTTTTTTTTCCAGTGGTGATAAGTCTACTCTTATAACAACTGATGACATAATTGGAATGGAAGAGAGACCCAATCTGACAGAAGAACTTCGTAAATATTCATATCAAGCATTGGCTTTTATTATGTTAGATCACACCTATGCATTGCCAGCTCAAAAACAACCTTCAGCCTCATCACCTCCTCCACCTGTATCTACACCTGTGCCAACTATTATTTCCCCAACACCAGTCACCTCCCCAAAGAGTCCAGTAAAACGGACTTCACCAGTGATAATGTCTACGGCATCATATGATCTGCCAATAACAGTACCAACTACTGTAGCGGGAACTTCAACACCAGTTACAACTATACAGATGGGATCTCTTTCGTTTAAACCAACCCCATCTGCACAGACTCAAGATGATGATGCTGCTTCAGTGATATCTTCTATAGATGGTGACAAAAGACAAGCGGATAGAGGAGGGAGCGACACAGAAACAGCCCCTGAAGGTGAAGAAGAGGGCAAAACCAGGTGCATATGTGACTTTACACATGACGATGGCTATATGATATGTTGCGATAGGTGTGGGGAATGGCAGCATGTGGATTGCATGGGTATTGACAGGCAAAATATACCAGATGCGTATATGTGTGAAGTTTGCCAACCACGGCCGATAGATAGGCGACACGCTCGTAATATACAGCTAAGGAAGAGAGAAGAGCTAAATGCACTTGGCGCTTCCGACTCTGATTCCTCGGAGACAACTCGTCTGCCTGGACAACGCCGCAAAAGACTACTCACAGTAACAACTTATACAAACACTAGTGGTTCTTGTGTTACTACCTATAATTCAAATCTCGCTGTTCTACCACCATTGCCTCAACCAAGTTTATCTTTACCAAAACGAGGTCCCAAGAGACCAAAGAAAGCTGAAATGGTTAGAAAAGTTGCAAAACGAAAGCTCGCCGAAAAGAGAGTTAAACGAAAGAAGGATATGTTTAATAGAAGTAAATTCAACACCAGCCTACCAAATCAGTCGCATTGGCAAGATTCATATGAGGCTGCAATGACAAACCACTATAGTCCCGAGCTGAGAGCTAAAATTATGAAATACAGCAGCAAGCTGGGGAATACTCAAAGTATGGCTTCAGCAATAACAGCACACCTATGTACAACAGTCCCTCATGCTGGTGGGAAAATACTTATCGCGACGAAAGACCTCAAGGAAAATACTCCCGTTATAGAATTACGTGGTAAGTATATGTTATCAAATCAACATAGACCCCAATTGCAGAACACAGCAAGGGCTGGAAGCCAAAAGCCTGGCCCCTTCGTATTTTTCTATAGACTCCCGAAAGACAACACACAGATTTGCATTGATACGCGAACGTATGGCAACGAGGCAAGGTTCGTACGACGATCGTGTAAACCTAACGCGGAACTACAACATTGCATTATAAAGGGAGCTCTACATGTTTACTTGGTAACAATTGGTGTTGTCCAATCTAACACTGAAATAACAGTTGGTCATGATATTAATGGCAGCAAGCAGCCCTGCGCATGTGGTAATCCAAAACATTGCAAGGTTAATGGCTTAAATCCTATAGTTACTAGAAAAAGTGTTGATTACCCACAGAGAGAAAAGAGAAGTAGAAATAGATGTTATAGCTCATCATCCCCTGTTTCACCACCTCTTGTACCATTGCCTACCACACCAGTCAAGGTGAGTTCACCATCATTTATGCAGATAAAAACTGAGAAAAAATCACCTATTAAACATGAATTACCACCTATGTCCCCTATTCAAACTACATTAAATCTAAGTTTCGATGAGCCAATCAAAAGTGAAATGTTTGATGATATTAAGCCTGAAATAGATTTAATGGCAAAAGAAGAAATGAAACCAGAATTAGACGAACCAGATTTCGTTAAAATAGAACCGAAAATTGAAGAAAAAGAACCAGAAGAGGAGACCATGATACCAGAACCTGAGCCTGAGCCTGAACCTGAACCAGAACCAGAACCTGAGCCATTAATTGAAGAGCCACCACCTGAAATTATTAAAGAGGAAGTTAAGGAAATTATAAAAGAAGAAATACCGATAAAAATTGAGACTGAGGTTTCAGAGGAAGTGAAAGAAGAAATAATGGAAGTTAAAAAGCCGAAAGAGTTACCTAAAGTTGAAGAAGAAAAACCAATAATTAAAGATGTGATAGCTAAGTCGGCATGTCACGACAGATCTGCACGATCTAGCCGTACTACTTGTACTAATCAGGACTCCTTAGATGATAAAACAGATGATTCCCAGGATAAACTTCCTACTGTGGCTTATGTCCAGAAAGACAAGAAAAAAATGGTGAGTGTTATGACCAGAAGTAAAAACATTGATTGTGGTTTAACAATTAAAACACCTACCAAAAATAACCTTAAAATAAAATTGCAGACTCGCGAGGAGCGAAAAATGGAGGCTATAATGAAAGCTTTTGAGCGAATGGAAAAGGCTGAACAACGTAAACAGGAGGTGAAGGAGCGGCAGAAGAGAAGAGAATCCGATCCTCATCCTAATAGTGCGGACAGGGAAGATGAAGAAGAAATTCATGTTAACTCCAAAAAAAGAAAAAAGTAGGTAGAAAATATATTTTATACAGTTAGAACATTAAACAAAAAAAAGTTAATATATAACTGATTTTTTTTAAACAGACGCAAGGGACGAGCTCGGACTACTTCGCAGTCAAACCGGCGTCGTCTAAATTCAGCTGACAGTGATATGGTCACATCTGGTGATGAGGCAATGCCGTTGTCACCGCAAAGGCCTGCACCGCCAATGGAGCTGGCGCACCCCTCAACTGAAGAGCAGACCCATGAAGTTGTTAGCGAGGTATATTGTCAAATATCGTTTAATAATAAAATTGGTCGTTTTTGTAAACTTTAAAACCTTGAGTATTTGCAAAATCACTTGTATATCAATCGTAGCCATATTTAGGGGAAAAGAAAATTTCCGTATTTTAACTTTATATTTATTACAATTGTTCCCAGGACCTTGGCTTAAGCTCGGCCTGTTTGCTAGTAGAAGCAGCAGTTGGTTCAGTCGAGTCCGCGTTTAAACTACCGAAAACGAAGAAAACAATGGCTACAGAGTGGATCGGACGCTCCCCTGAACGGACACCTTCACCATACCACTCCCCATATAGGCCAGCACTTGTCTCCGCGCCCTCACTGGAGAGCTTGGTCAGAGTTGCTTCAACTATGATAGGTGATCTTAGCGGAGGGCATGATTTGGAACATGAAGAAGAACCACAACTCGTGGCCTCGCCCCCTCGGACACCAGGAAGGGAGAGAAACAGACCCCCCAAGAAAGCAAAGAGAATTACGCGTAGCACACCACCTGCTGAAGTGGCCGAAGTGATTCCTGCTTCATTGCCTCAGCACAGTGCTAAGAAGCGTTGGTTGAGGCAAGCCATCAGTGAAGAAAGTGACTCCCCTGTTACTGGTTTGTCTCATTTAATTTATTTGCTTACGTACACAATTACTTGAGATTTGTGATAAAATTAAATCTATATTGTAATTTTGTTTGTAAGCATATTATATTGTTGAAATTATTTAAGTAGTTAATATGTTAAGTATAGATGTTTTTGTTGCAGAATCACCGCCGAACGAAATGGTAACTCCACTGAAGAAGCGGAGAGTAGCTAGAGAATCATTAAGTTGTGACCAAAATCCCATTATTCCTGTAAGCTTAATAACAAGTTATTAGTAATTCAATTATTTTTGTAAATCTAACCTGTATTAAAATGTATATTTTTGCTCTTTAGTGTATGGACGAATCATCGCCAATTTTGACGTCTGAAGACTCCCCCATCAAAGATGACCCACAATCAATTACACAACAGTACAAAAGAAATATAATGGACAGTATGTACAGTAGGGACAGAACTAGGTCAGATAGTGGACAAGGTTCAGATGACCAATGCAACATGGAACATGATGTTTTGAATGTCAACCTAAAAGTACCTCATGATAGTGAAAATATAAGAAGAATTATAGGTGTACCGACGCCCGAAGAAGAGTTTGTACCGGATTTGGTGAAATCAAATGATGTAAGTAGCAATAACAACAATTTAGACATGGAAGAGAGCAATTACAATAAAGTAGTACCAATGGAGATAGACACAACAATAATAACTCAGGCTAAAATCCAGGAGTCAAATGAAAATAGTAATGAACTGAAGGAAGTAAATAGTTCACAGTCAGCGGACACTAGTGGTAACTCCTCACCGCAGCGTGATGAAATGGATGATATACAAAAAAAGATCCATTCTTTTCATACAGAGAACATCCTAATATTAAAGAGCAGAAACAAGAAACCTCCAAAAGAGAAACGGAAGAAAGTTAATCTTAACTTCGATCTAAACATGGTCGATGATCAAATCAGTATTCAACTACGTACTGAAAACGATTCAAATTCAAAGTCGTCTGATATCAATGGCGATCTTCATGAGGAACTCAGCAACTCTATACAGGACGACGCTAAAATGCTTGTCTCTCCAGAGAATATACCCTTGCCACCTGTAGAGACTATACCTCTTCCGGCTTCAGAAAACTTTCATCTGCCTGCCCCTGAAAATATACCACTACCTGAAGATCCCAGTCCAATGCCTGTTATACCACCACCAGAGGCAATACCACTACCAGAAGAGCCCATGACTCCCGTTAGTGTAGTTGCCCATGAGTCATCATGTTCCCCACCTTCAAATAAAGCTGAGGAAAAGGAAGTCAATACGATGGATAGACCATCTGTTCTGGACTCAACCCTTCCCTTTTCCACGCGTTTCAGCTCCACCGGTCTATTCTCGGGAATATTTAGCAATATGTCAAGTTCATTTAAGTTGGATAGCCCAATAAATGAGAACATACCAAATATGTCGATTATAAAGAGTGCAATAGATAGGACTACAAGTTTAGACAATAGTTTGTTTGATAAGGACAGCGTAACGCCAGTGGATGAGTTGAAAAGTGTACAGGAGATATTGACTCGTGTGAATAATATGGACTCAAACAATAGTGTTTTGTTGTCGGGTGTGCTGAAGAACTCTAACAAGAGCATGTTGCCTTCGCCATCCCCGTCCCCAAAGCCAGCCGGCAAGCCTTACTGTCCGCGCAGTAACGATCCGAGGTTAAATCCACCGCCTGTCGAAAAACCAAACCTGTTAGAAGGAAGGTGAGTGCATTTTCCTTTTCACCAAGTTAATTTCATTTGTTTTTTTTATATCTAAATATAGTCACACCTTTATGGGCTGGCATAAATAGCACTAGAGCTCTAACATATTTTGGACTAAATATGTGAAATATATATTGTTAGGTCTTTTGTTAAGATCATAAAGAGTGTGAGATTATTGCATTGAATGCAGGTTGATTGAATTATTTATTTTGTCTATATTTAGATTTATTTATTGTATGACATCAAGGTGTTTTGTTTAATGTCATAGAGGAATTTAAAATCGGTCCCCTGATTGTCTATTTCAATTCAAGTTCTAATAGCCTTTTTTGCAAACAAAGTTTATATATGATGCTCTGCGAATGAATATATATTTCAGTGTAAATTTTGTTTATTTATTTTATTTTATTTTACATCTTTTCACATAAAAAAATGATACAAGCAGTCTGGTGTTTGCTTTTCATACTAACAAGAAACATGGCAATTTATTTTTATAGCCAGTTATTGCATAAAGACACATGTTATACTTTTATAATACATCAGAAGGTTTTGTATGTTGCCAATTAACACACCGGTGTTTAAAATGAAATCAAACCAGTTTGAGACTTATTGACTACATGCTAAGCAGTAAAATTATTCCATATTATCTAAATGCCGTTATAAATTCTTGCTGTGTATTTAACAATGATAATATGCTCATTCAAATACTTTAAATTTTATTGTATTTTATAAAGAAATAAAATGGATTCTGTTTTGAATATCGATTCAAACAATTTACATGCTGTAAAGGTCAAGGAAGATTTTGTGACATATCTCAAAATTTAATGTTTTGATTAACATTTAAAAGTTCCAATAATGCGCATATTCTAATTTCTTTAGCAATTTCCAAAGATGTAAAAAAAAGAGTAAATCTTGAATATCTTAGAATGAAGTATTCTGCTGAAGTAAAATATTCTAGCAAATTACAATTAAAACAATTGCTACCTCCTTGCAGAAGGTAAACATGTAACTTACAATCTATTGTAATAAAAATTATTTATGCAGTCTATAAACAAACAAATGCCATTTAAATGCAATGAATTGATTCTCATGGTAATTTTATTTTCATTTAAAATATAAATATAAAAAGTTTCTACATAATGAAGCTATTGTTATGGTCACATATTTACAATTGATGTAGTATAAGCAAGGCAGAAGCATGTGTGTGCTTTACCAAAGACTCACACAAAATTGTACTTGTGTATAAGTAGTGTCAGGTGTCAGCATATATCTGTGTAAAATTTTTTTTTCTTGATTTAACTGAATTATCTAAATTTGATACCTGAGTTGGGATTAGAACTCTGTGAACACCAAATGTGGCTATGTATGCATGGTTTGGTTCAAACAATATGCTGCACTATGCTACACCCAATAAGCGCTTATTATTATTTAGCAGATTTATCAGCACTTAAAATTGCAATTTATCACGTGCTCAGCGGTGAAGGAAAACATCTTGAGGAAACCTGCAAATCTTCGAAATAATTACAAAAACATATTTCGAAGATAATTATGTGAAGTCCGCCAATCCGCGCGCAAAAAGTCGCGCGATGGAGTATGTCCTAATACGTTCTGTACAGAGGAGGCCTTCGCTCAGAAGCCTACACACTAATTTTTAAATTTGACCGATTGTGGCTTCACCATCCCCTAGTCGTACTCCGTCTTGGAGCGAGCTATTATAGTCCGTAACTATTCGTCCCTCCGAACAGCTCTCCATCACGGAGTACCGGAAGAGGCACAAGTGCGCGGCGAGCGATTCCGGCTCGCCCGCCTCCGCCGGCGAGGCGCACGAGGCCCACGAGGCTCAGGAGGCCCAAGAGGCGCACGAGGCGGGCGACGGCTGCGAGGCGCACGAGGCGCCCGAGGCGGGCGTCGAGTGGTCCTCGGAGTCGTCGGCGGGCGCGTCCCTCTCGCCGCAGAGGCTGGACGCGGCCGCCGCGGCGGCGGTCGATGACCTCGAGCAGCGGCTCCACAGGGAACTAAGCGCCGCGCACACGCCGCGAGGTAACACACACACACACACACAGCCTTACATATGTATTAGTTGGGTCAGGGGTTCTTTCGAATGTTATTTTGGCACACTGTGACGACTATCGATTACAAAGAGAAACTAACGCCCGGTTTCTGAGACACTGATCACCGTAGAAATTAACTAATTAGCTGTCAAATATCATTTCAGTTGCCAAAGGCATGACTAAACTGTGGGGCTAGTCAGGCGTAGGGCAGCTAGTCAAGGGTAGTCAATCTGATACTTACAGCTCCGTGGGACATAATTAGCTCACAGATAATGCTGGGGTGGTCAACTTTTTTCGCCCTTACAAAAGTCTCGCACACAATAGAATATTACCGAAAGAAAACACTGGCAACTTATGCAGGGTTACCAAACCTTTTCATATTAACCAACCCTTAATTTAAAATTTTCACTAAAATTAAAACATTCTTAGCGCCCACGAATAACTCGTATTAAGATTGCATTTCTTGTCATTTTTATTCGTGGCTCTTGGCACAATCTTATCATGCTATGAATTATTTTAAGCCTAAATAAAGTCAAGCTTTTAGAAATCTATTTATTGAAAAAAACTGTTGATATCACTGACTGCGATTATAGACAGCGAGTGAAAACTGCATCCCCATGATTTCTGGCTCATGATTGTCTTTGTCTCGCTAATTTTTAACTACCCCGTAACCCCACTATAGTATGGTATCACTGTCATACACAACGGTTCCGTGTACATGCGTAAATTGTGAAGCGGCAACACCTACATTGATGTCAAATACTTGTGTAGGGTTGTCTAATACTAGTCTCGTGTAGGGTTCAACTAATAGAATACAGAGGTACCGTTAACACCGTTTATATGTTTTTTTACATTCCTTCAAATTATTTTTAGATTTTTTTTACTGGTACGTAACAGTTGTCAAGCTAAGTTTTGACGGTTTCTTGTGGTCGAGAATAGTTTCCAGTCTAAGAGTCCAATTAAAGCTACTCTTGTTATTTCGCTGCATTACTGTAATGTTTCTATCGATTTTATGCGACAGGCGAATGAATAAGTGAAATATTAAATAATTCTATACATCTATATAACAAACAAGCGTGTTTGGAAAACATGCGCAAGGCTAATTCGATAAGTTATCGGCTTATTGATAAAGGTTCGAGGACATAATATCGGCGCGTGTGCTACTTTCATTGGACGACTAGGTACGGTTCGCGGCGTTGCTCACGTTTCGAAGTTTACGCTGTACCTATATTCTTTAGTTAAGCGAGCTGGTGTAAGCGATTTTAAGTGAGACATCTACAACATATGAGCGCTCGTAGATGCTTCGATGAACTTTAAAAGTTGGCCCCAGCTACCCGACTCACCAGAGGCGATAATACATCCACTTCAAGCCCGGTGTTCTGTGAGGACGTAGCGCCTGTCACACCACTTTTGTTGTTTACCTATGTTAATAACATGGGAAGCCCTGATAGCGTGGTAGCTCAAGAGCCGTGATAGCTCAGTGTCCGGGCGCTCGCCTTTATTTACATTTACTCGAGCGACCTGGGTTCGATCCCCGGTGCCGGCACCAATGAACTTGTTAATTTTAAGCTCTGAACTATCACGTGCTCTCGGCGGCGAAGGGAAACATCGTGGGGAAACTTGCATATTTTCCTCGTCATCGTCCTCAGCAGTGGGACATTTATAGGCTCTTACTTTACTACATGGGAAGCGCCAGGTTTCAAATAAAAAAATAAACGGCAAAAACGGCTCACTCGGTCGAAAGGTCTGAGGTAACAAACATAAAAAAATGTATACAGTCGAATTGAGAACTTCCTCCTTTTTTGAAGTCGGCTGAAAAGCAATCTCCCGCAGGGCGCGAGGGGCGTACGTAATAATTGCGCGAAAGAGACAGTTATATGTCAAAGCAGTACGCGGCAGTTCATTAAAAATTCTAAAAACGTAATATCGAATATCGTCGTCGTAATATCGTCGACTTCGAAAAAAAAATATTTAAACTTTCATGAACGACTGAAACGATACGTTATTTTCGACACGACGGACATCGGCGCCGTGGCTTAGTTGGTTAAAGCGCCTGTCTAGTAAACAGGAGATCGCGAGTTCGAATCTCGCCGGGGCCTATGTTGAAAATTCATTTTTTTTCTTGTATTTTATTTAAGGAAATTTTGTAAAATAATTTATAATACTTTCTTCCGAAAAATTTGCAGGTAAAATGTTTCAATAGTTTTCTTTTTTCTTTTTTTTTTTAAGCCGTTATCGTTTAATTTCTAATGATAATTTAGTGCAATTGTAACAGTGCAGTTGATAATGGAATAATTTTAAATACTCGTTATTTAATGTGGCGAGTTATCAGCTGTCCGTTCCCGCTCCAAACGTAGTTGAAACGTTGTATTAATTTCTATGTTTAATGAATATAAAAAAGCAGTATTATTAGTACATACTGATAGTATAGAAAGCTTTTATTCAAGCAAAGTTCTTTTTACTTCATATTTAAAAGCACGTAATTAGTCAGTTCTAATTTATGTTAATAGTTGTTGTAATTATATCAGTTTTAATTTATGTCTACAGGGAAAGAGGGCCTTGATAGCATAATAAAATTACTTCCTTTCCAACGCCGAATAGTTTTAAATGTGCCTTAAAATACTGTTTTATTACAATTTGGTAGCTTTGTGCTTAAGGTTTTTATATCCATACCTAATTTTAATTATCTAACCTAAAACAGGAGCGTGTTGCATTGTTTTCCACGTCTTCAAACAGTAACAATGCGGAAGATCAATAGGATTGTTTGTCATAGACATTTTTTTTCGTTCCAAACGATTTTAACTGCGAAGAAGTTTACTGCGATTGTCGTCAGATGGTGCTGCGATGAATAGCAGTTATCGAAACTCAACACTAGCGCTCGCTACTTATTTAACGTGTTCTTGTATACGGGTGTTTAGTTACTACGTTGTTAAATTAAATAACTGAAAAATGTGGGAAAGCTGTAATAAATTCAACTATAAGACTTTTGGTTGGTTGTCTTTAAATTTTTCTAAAGCAATCATCATACAGGTCGAATTTTACCATTTTATCCCATAACAAGGTCATAGACAATCGCCTAGATCGTTCGGAAATTAGACCCGCGACTCGCGGTGTCGACCATAATGAAGAGTACATTAAGACATTTAATCCGACACTTCATCTGCACACATATTACATTCGGTTACAATGTTCATAATTACAAAATAACAAACTAATAAAAAAAAATAGAAATAAAATAAGCAAATAAATTAAATAACCTAAAAGTAATTACAAGAGGAAAAAAAAATAAGTTAAAGTAATACAAAGAATAAAAATAAAAGAAAATTATAAATAAGGATGTAGCGACGGAGTACCCCATAGTTTAGAAACTACGTCAAGCGATCTCTCTCATTATTTTAACGCCGCTTCGCCTACATTGTTCGGCAACTCCGCGCTGAGAACGTCTGGCATTCGGCCAAGGTTATTTGCGGCGTGCATTACGAAGAAACCGCTATCGGCGGATATAAGGCTGCGCTCGCGGTAAGAAGCGGTAGCGTTTTGTGAGTTTTTGAACCGGCCAGATAACTGTAAAATAATAAGCATTTAATGCCAACATTATTTTTCAATAAATAACCTTACAAGATAGATATTTTTCACAGTATAAATATTTTTGTATAATTAATTATTTAACGATCTTAGGAGTTGAACTTTTATAAATAGCGACACTTTCCAGTCAACTCGTGTTTGAGTTGCTCTGTGCCATATTTTTGATGTCATCAGACCAACATTTTATTTGTCTTCCTCGTTTTCTCTTCGTTTGGATGGATGGATCCGGGGGTCTATTTTGCCATATCTTTAGTCCATTTATCACTATTATTAATTCCCGAGAAATGGTTGATAACATTATGGTGGAGTTAAAACAGGATAGCATTTCACATTTTGTAATGTCCCAACAATTACTTTTCATTTATTATAATCTGTAAAAGACCATATTGTGTTGTCTGTGCAGCAAAACTTAGTGTTTTAACTTGTACTAGAAATACAATAGAACAAACCTCCACTTCCCACTAAACCGAACCCCCGATATAAAAGGTGGCGTAAACGATAAACGCTGCATGCGTTTATCTTAAATCATACTCCCTTTGTGGAAATTGTGATTATAAGCGACATTTGCGAGACTTTTCTCAATTCAATCGAGTACTAGTCTATAGATTTATCCGCTATTACTAAAAAAACCTAACGTCTAACTCGTGTCAGTTATTCCCGCTCCGCTACTTACCAAAGGCGCTTCTCCAACCAACCCGAGATACACTGTTCACCTATTGTTTCTCGTCGGTACATCTTTGTTTATACAACATAGTGTTGTATATATCGCGTGAGCAATTCAAAATCGTTTAATACCTTCAGTTGGTACGGAACGACGTAGTTTTATGAGATATGCCTATTGCATACAGTGATATGATTCGGCGATTTATCTTTTTTTTTATTATTTTACTATTATTTTTTGAATATACATCATGCGTCATTAACGAAGTACGCGTGATATATTTGTGTTGCTACTTGTATAATGTTGCTGGAATTATTTGTAGAGAGAAAATTGTCAGTAATGGAAATATCAGGTCAACGGTAAATCTAAACTACGACAGACACTTATAACGGCCGGTTACAAAATTCTATATACAGATAGTTTTTGGTCACTGGAGATAGAATGTTAACGTAAGCATAATGGATCTCAAGTCAAGTACCTATTGCTAGTAACCGAATCTATCTGTAGATAAAATATTGGAACGGCCGTTAGTCTATGGTTCTTCATTTTAAAATTTCTCTTTTCAAAGCTTGCTAGGCATTTTTCAGTTTTTAATGATGTGACAGTATGTCATATATATATAACTTAGATGTTTATATTTTTGTTTATATTTAAATCAAAATTCCATAGACATATTTCTCATAGAATAACTTACAAGTAGGTATACAGTTTAACAATATTATACTTTAAAGTAAAAGATATATTAAACAGTATGGGTACCGTATTCCTTTTTCACAACAATTTAGTTGTACGCACGTACCGCGTAAGGTAATACGATATTTTTCAACGTTATGTCGTTAATCCTCTCACAAATGATCATCTCAGTTGGTCCTACTTACGTCCCCAATGCCGTTCGCAGTAGGGACGCCCAAAGTTGAGAATATATTGTATCGATAATCGGAATGTCACCGTATCAAATGCATGTGTATCGACACGTAGTGTTATCGTATTCTTTTCTATCGATGTTACGCATCGTAACTGTCTGTATAACATACATTTCATTGTATATAATATATTGTATAATAATATTAATAAGTATGCTCCACTCTTACTTACAGTTTTAGTATAGCCTTGACTCCCAGATTAGGTTAATGTGCTCATATATGTATGTGCCTGGTATGGATCCGTCTAAAGAAGGGTTAAAAATCGGTTTAACAATTTTAATTTTTAATAATGTTTTTTTTTTTTTATAGCCAAGCGATATATCAGAAGTATCGTATGATCTCAATGAGTGTCGTATGATCTAAATATATTTACGAATGTCGATATATCATATAAGCGCTGCATCGTCGCTAGTTCGCAGTTAGCTGCGTGTTTATTTAACGGACGGCCGGCAGATTATCTCATTGCTATGGCATCCGGCGCTCGATAATCGACTCAAAGTCCAAATTGAACTTTAACAAATTGATCGTAAAAAGTATTTTTGCACATTTAGTATTTTTACACATTAAACCACAGGAAGTAGCGCCATGTTGTGGCAGTGTTATTGAAACAGACATATCTTATATCGAAACGTGTACCAGCGAAATTATTTAGATGTAATAGTCAGCGGTATGCGCAGACCGCTACGATTTAGACTAGGACCATCAAGAAGAGAGATTATTCCTCAAAGAGAGATTCCAAGGACGGCGGTGAACATACCATGAAGTGGGAAATACCACCTAACGTTCGCCTCCTTTTCCATAAAAAAAAAGTTTTCGATCGCCTTGTGTTGAAATTGAGAATAGAAACGTTTTATATATACACCGTCAGTAATAAATAACGTGTGTTGCATTTGCAACAAGCTACAAATAGCTTTGCCGATTAAATCTTGAGATTTGGCACAAGCCCAGGTTGAGTCATAATTATATTGTTTATCCTCGTCCAATGGTCATAGAGACTTATAACTAAAGACATAATATAAAAGAAAAATAAACGCTACGATAAATGAATATTAAAGACTTTATTTTTTCACTCATTACTAGATGAACCCGATTTTTTATTGATATTGAGACGATAAAGGGAAGCGCTCGCTAACTATAGATTAATCTGTTGCTAACAGTGAAATCGTACTAAATGATTTGACTGCTTCGAATATTTGAAAGTGTGGCGAGTTTTAAAGTTTCTTAAGCCATATTCGTGACATGCTTGATCGGAAAAGTCTGTGCCAATGTGCAGGAAGTCGATGAATTCAGTTTGCCCAGGAGCGCGCTTCGTGGCAGTATGTGGGGGAGTCCTATGTTCAGTTTGATCAGGCTCACACTTTCAGACTTTTGAATCTAAACTAGAGCACGAAGAAATCGCCTTAAATATCTAAACATTTTTATTCTCCGAATAAAGAGGGTATCTGAATGTTTTCTGTTCCACATTTTAGTACTTTGCGACACGGCATCAACGTATACAGTGCCGTGATGATCATGATGATTAATGTGTGAAATTTATGTGTATTAAAAAAATTATAAGTGTGTATGTAAATAAATTAATTAATATTTTAAAATGTGTTTCGTGTTCCTTGTCCGCAGATGGCGCGGCGGTGGCCAAGCGGTGCGACAGGTAGTGTGCGCGCGTCCGTATGTACATACGAATAAGACATATTTTTATAAATCTCACGTCGGCGCCGGCCCGTCGCTTGTTATAAATATATCGAAAATATAAAAAGTTTTTTATGAACTTCGTGTAAGAAGCAATCTGTGTATATTTCCGTTTGGTTTTTTCGTTTAACACTTGTGTTATTATTATTATAATATATTTTTCTTTTTTTTTTTTTCTATTATTTCTATTTTAATTATTTTTGTGTCACGGTTTTTCTGCAAGTACAAATTGTTTTTTTTTTTTTAATTTCCCCATCTGTACATATTGTATATAGGAGAGTTTAATAAATAGGGGTAAAAATATATACGATACATGTATGTATGGCGCGGTGTATGAAGATTTTTTATATGATATACGGTTTATGTATCTTATCGGTTTATTTATTACCGCTGGGGTTTTTGACGGCTCGGGAGGTTAACTTTTAGAACCCCCCCATTTTTTTTTAATGTACGCATAATGTGTAAGTAAATTGTAAGTGTTTATGTTTCTACCGTTCCCGTTTCGACCGCTCGGGCGGGGTGAGCCGTTTAGGCGTCTAGGTATTTTTTTAGCGTTTACGATTCCGTTCTTAAGGTTGGCTAGCCGACGAGCGTTTGCACTGTGAGCGGTGAGCGTCGACCATCGCTAGGCCTGTGCAGAGTTTTTATTTGACATATTCATACTTTACATTTCATTCATATCATCCCCCCCATCACGAGTTTATCATCACGATCGTGTCATAACCGTATCACATCACACTACGCGCCGCGCGACGTAAAATCTCCCGACCGAACGTTCCTAAGTGTAACAACATCCTACCGTTTGAATGTAATATTCGCCCACGCCACCATTGTGTATCGCGCCCGATGCGCTGTGACGACATTGTCACATGCGCGGCGACGGCTTGGTCGTCTACGCGACGACGCTGTCACCTACGCGGTGATAACATTGTTGTCTACGCTGAGAACTGATTCTCAATCACGTGATGACGACATTGTCATCTACGAAGGTATCGTCACCTACGCGATGACGCTTCGCTGTCGCATCCAACCCGGATTGTCGGCTAATGGAGTTTTGATGTCATCAGCATTAGTGCGGTTAAAAATCGATTGCCCGTATACTGAAAATGTTATACAGGTTATTTCAAGAGGTTTCATCTTGTAGAAGTTTTGTGATCTGATGATGTCTGATAAACAAATAGTTTATATACCATTCGCCCAGATAACTACTGTTATTAATAACAGTGTAACATAAAGCTCCTTCTCATTCTTAGCCTAATGTACACATGTATGCGTCAGTGGTATTTATGATAGTTTGACCTGTTCATTAGTGCAATGATGTAGCTACCTGTCGCATAACAAAATGTGTGACAAATTACACCGGAAATTTCTATAGCAATGTATAGCTTGTATTACGTAATAAATCTGTCCCTATTGGCGCGAATTTTTTTTTAAACCTCTAGATGAAATAACACGTATATAATATGCAATATCATAATATACGATGCATATGATTTCTCTATTATTCTCAGTGATTATTGCAAACAAATCATTCAGCGGCACCACGCTCATGTCGATTTGGTTGACTTGGCACTGCATTATGAACTTCATTTATAGGTTAAGCATTGATTTGCGGCAATCGATTTTGAATCGTCCAGTTTAAGGTGATTGAATTTCAAAGCTCCATCTAAGTCCATAGAAATTTGACCGTTTTATACCTTTGAAATAAGGGCGACAAAAGCGCACACGGCGACGGGCGAACGTACCTGATTTAATTTAGACGACAACAAACGAAAGGAACAGTAACGGGCATACCAGTGCACCCGCGGGCATTCCCAGTCTTCATTACGGTGTTAAAATCTTGCAAAATATTCTATTAGTTATATGTTTTACGTTGTTAGCTTAGTTAAGTATATATCGGCTGCATTTTGCTTTCCACCTTTCGTGCTCGTTTGGCAGTGTATTCGAAGATTCTTTACGTAATCATCGCGGAATGCTTGGCCTAATATAGGTGACGGTGTCGGTTTTATAGTGTTGTGCTCTCTATAGGGCGAACTTGTGATTGTACAAAAGCAATACATCGATGTTTGATAGTGCATTTCTAAAGCAATAATACATCGACCATGGGAACAAAACTTTAAAGCCTTGATGGCGTCAAACATTTGTTAGTGAAATTTTAATCGTTACTCCAGATTTCATCGGCGACGGTTTACGTGAAAAATTTTTGGGGCATTCCTAATTCGTTCGTCTTTCGCTAGAATACATCCGAGCGTGCTACCGGACTTACGATGATCTGTTCCATTTATGAACACATTGCGCGTGAATATTTATAAATAGTATAATATATAAGCGACGCAGTTAAACTGCCTTTATGTGCCCAGTGACTCCATCCGCAATGTTGCTCAATATTGCAATTGCTTCGTGTTCGTCGGTGTACTCGCTTGCTCTGTCGGTATTCTACACGCCTCTTAGATTTGTCCGTGTGGCGTGTGCATGTTTGAGACTGAAATTTTCGAAGGTTCGAACGCAGTGTTGACCATTTTTCTAGATGTTTCGCATTACCGGCGATTCGTTGATTGGTAGATAGACCAGCGATTTGGAGGAATGTTTCTTTAAAACGGCTAGAGTATTTCTTTACCGATTAGTGTGCCTGATAATTTACCGCCTAGTGTATTTATATTTAAATTAGACCATAGGCACAGCCATAGACGTGTGATTGTCGACACGTTTTTTTTACTGTTTTTGATCGTTTTCTTTACGTTTTGGAAATATGACGTCGTGTCAGTGAGGAGTTTGGTTTAGCGCGAGGCGGCGGTGCGTTTTGTATTTTTAGGTTAGGTTTGTTTTTAAATTCGTGTGTTGCGGATATACAAGAGAAATACGGCGGTAATACAACGGAAGTTGCGCATTTGATGGTTTGTCGATATAAGAAGATTTTAATCCTCATTATTTGTCTAATAGAAATCTATATTAGCGTATTATTTAATATTTTCTTCCTTTTATAGTAGACGTGTATGATGAAATTTTCGTTTCTTCTACTTACCTCCCCCCTCCGCGAGTTTTATGCATAATCTTAACGAGAAACATTAGACTTTAGTCAACCTGTTGCAATAAACGACGCCTAAAGGCGTGCGAGCGTTAGCTGTTAGTAGTTTGTAAATGAGAATTTCTTTTTTAACAAGCACATTAGTTTAGCCACGTTTGTATTTAAAATTTGGTAATTTTATTTCGTATTATCTTTTATCAGAGGATCGCGTGCGAAACAACCGAGAACGGCTGCGCAATTGAGGCGCAAGCGACTGTCTTGTACATATTTTTCAATCTGGTTGTCGAATAGATTGTAAAATTGAAGCTTATTGTCCAGTTCTTAAAGCGCACTTTGCTCTCCCACCGACGCCGATGGGATGTCGCCGTCGTTCCTCATTTGGAACGGGGCTTTTGCCGGGCGGAAAATGAAATGTCGCCACCCCACGGGGATCCATTAGAACCGACCCATAGAACCGACCCAACTCGAGCGTAGTGCGTGTTAAGACCGAATAAATGTCTGTGTAGCGAATTAGAAGGGATCTATGTGATAAAGAAAAAAAATTCTTCTCTAATATCATTCTGTAGAAAATGATGTCTTGTACTTGTAAATATAACTGTAATGTTTTAATTATTAAGCAAAGGGCTACATATATTTTGTTAAAAGTGAAACAATAACGCACTGTATTTAACTATAATTTGCCACAAACACGTATTTTTAAGAAAGAAACACACACCCCCATCCCCCCTCAATGCTCCCCTATCCCCACCACGGCCCAAGCCGGTATTGTTTCACTTGTAAGGTATTCGATGTAACTATGGAATATTTTGCAATATATTTTTTTTTTATATCTCTTAAGTGAATCGTAATATAGTTGGACTGTATATTATCCAGATGTTAAATATTATTTCTGTCTTAATGTTTGAACTAAGCATGTAAAATTTAAAATAATAATATAGAATAAAAGATGTTATGATAATTAATTACATGAAACTTGGTTTTGAATTTTGCCTTTCGTTTACCCCTACGGCGTTTTTTTACTTAAAGACAGGTCAATGACCGCCGACCTAAAGAGTTGCCTTAAGTTGAATTTGCTGTGAATGAAACACTTTGTGCAAAGATACTCGGATTATTGTCGACCTTTCGGCTCATAAGGACCATTTCCCATGAGGTCACTTTCCGTAAGTCTAATTTAGATCTCCTCTTGTTAGGTCATAGACCACTGTGTGCGTATACGAACGGCTTTCAATTGATAAGAAAAAAATGTAAAGATATTTTCTATAATATATATTTTTATACTTCCATTGTCCTGTTCGTGTATTGGTATTTCAGCGTATATTCCCTAAAAGTAGTTATCAAAACAGTTTTATCTTTATAATTCGTTAGTTGTCCTATTGGAATGCGTTCTTTTTGCGAAGTGGTCCTAATGAGCCGAAAGAGTCCAAAACCCTCAAGTGCCTCCTGACATGTGGAATCCAAGTAAAATATGAGATTATGATTTTTACACTTAAGTAGTCATATCAAATTTACATAAAGTTAAATATTTACATAAAATCTATTTGGCATCAATCAATGTCCCTGTGTAAATAGAACATCTCGAAGACCTTAAATAAAATCATATACCCATTGTATAGCTTGTTACCTAGAAAAAAACCGACATATAAAAAGGTTAAAATGAAATAAATATCATAAAATATTCAACATTTATGTTTAAAATATCTATTTACAAAACTTAAATATTACCACTTTACAGGCTTCGGTCGAGAGTTCTTACACCAAATTAAATATTTTAAAAACATTACTTCCCCACAAAATTGCACACTATATACCAGTAATATTAGAACTTTGTAAATTCTATACGGAATTATTTAATTCCAAACATCTTTTTTAACAATCACTGACAACTATGGCGGTAAATTTATGAATGGATTATTTTGACATAAATATAATAAAAATATTTTAATTAACTTTGTTTTATATACAAACAGATTTACTATTAGGCTAAACAATCTTTACAATAAAATAACATATTCTATAAATGAACCTTTAATGACAAAGTGTAACAAAACTAAATTCAAAATTTTCGCTCCCACATATTTTGAGGTAAGTACAGACTTATTGGAATAATAACAGTGCCTACTTGACAAAAAAAGAGTTAGATATTTACTAAAGGATTGCCTACTTTGATAGACAGTCTCAAAGTCTATATAGGGTGGCGCGTATGACATTGCTTCAAAGGAAAAATCTTCGCATCTATACAAATACGCAAAAATGGCGATAATAATTTAAAATTTCATCAAACTTGTTAACCGAAAACAAAATATTCGATGAGTAACTGATGATTTATTGTCAACCAGCGACGGTTGCAATATATTATATTAAAGAAATTATATATATTGTAATACATATTTAAAGATTTTCTGATAATAAATTGATTACCTCTGATTATTTTTTGCAACTGTTATGGTCAATGTATCATTATCAGCAATAATGATAACGCTTTTCCCAGTGAATTCTCAGAAATATTATCATATGCTCGAAGGAGTATACATTAATTGCTCACTAAAATTGTTTATTTCAATAATAAAAATCTTATTTCGGCTATTTTGAAAATAAAACTGTTTTGATCACATTATTGATGGCCATGTGTTTAGTAAGGTAATCGAAGAAATATAATATAAATATTATCTGTCAAAAGATTAACCTAACGTAAATGCAAAAGTTGCTTCATGCAAAGAATATATCCTTTAATTAATCCATACCAATCATTTACACCATAAAAACAATCACATAGAAATAAATGGCGGGAAATTTTGAAAATCCTACCGGACTTGTCATTGGTATAGAGGATAACAAAATGCAGAATCATAGAAAAAAAAATCCTACCGCTAAATTTAAAAGACTAAATAATAATCTAGCAATGCTTAAACGTACAAGTCTTAGTATGTAATGGTTTGGAAAAAATAACCGTCAAGCATCATATAACCAACTTGACTAGGTACATTTTTTTGTATCACAGCCCTAACAAAGAACACTAAACATTGTCCGCGCCGAGTCTTATACTGTCTTCCTTGAAATTCATTTATCACAGTGTTTGAAGCGTTCACGCCGAATGAATACGGTTATACGTAAATAGGAGTATTATTGATTATTATACTTGATGAGGGAATATGTTACGGGCGGTTTCTAAAATGATTTGCCAAAGCACGGTTGGAAATTACTTCAAACACTGAAATTTAACGAATCAATACAAATGTTAAACGTAGACTAAAAAGAACACAATGCCCATCAGGCATACCCATATCTTCAAAATCTTTCTTCTATAAAAAGATGTTTAAATGAAATCATTTCAGAGTTCTATAATACAGTTTTCGAAAGTTCAAAGTTTAGTAAAACATTCTCGTCTATAGATAAAATGTCATTGCTTTAATTTTTTTACGCGTATATTTTATTTATACGTAAGTTTACAAAATTACGTATGTACGTTTTATATAATTCAATAAAGAACTTACAAGAGTCTTACAATAATATTAGATGATGTGACATTTATATATACATGTATCACATACACAAATAGTCTATCGCTAAAAATTATGTAATTTTCTCACCACTAATTTATATGAATATGGCCAGTGAAATGTGCTATATGAAGAGCATAGACATCGAACTAAGTTTTGTTTGTGGTAATAAAGTTAGTATTTAACTTGATTGGATTATCACAAACCATTTAAGGGGCGATTGGTGTTGCCAGAGCATAAAAAAAAATTAAAGTATTGTACCTAGCGGTCGGAGGACCGCCCTTAGCATCAAACAGCGCACTTGGCCGCTCGATGAATGTCAATGATTAACACGCCAATATGAGCTCTGAAGCGGTCGTATTACGGTCGAAGTTTCACTAAACACCGCGTCACGCGACCGTTCGAGCAAACATGAGCTCTAAAGTACTCGCAATACGGTCGAAGTTGCATCAGAGAGCGCACTCGGCCCCCGTAACGTGATGTGGATGAAGTCACCAAACAGCGCACTAGACCGCTCGTTGAACGTCAGCTAGCAGCAAGCCAACATGAGCTCTACACTGTTAGCACTACGGTTGAAGTTGCACGAAACAGCTCTTCTCACGTGACGGTCAGCAGCACGCCAATATGTACTTTAACATCCTTGCAATATGGTCAAAGTTGCACTAAACAGCACACAAGGGCGCTCGTTAAGCGTCAGTTGGCAGTAAAGCGGTTACCAGCTCGGGCCAACATGAGTTCTAGAGTCGAAGTGGCATCAAAGAGCGCGCTAGACAGTCCAAGACAACGCGAGCTCTAAGGCGCATCAACCAGCGAGCGAGCCAATGTGAGCTCTAAGGCGCAGGAGATACGGTCGAAGGGGAAACACCCAACGAGCGAGCCAATGTGAGCTCTAAGGCGCGGGCGATACGGTCGAAGTCGCACCGGAGAGCGAGCCAATGTGAGCTCTAAGGCGCGGGCGATACGGTCGAAGTCGCACCGGAGAGCGAGCCAATGTGAGCTCTAAGGCGCGGGCGATACGGTCGAAGTCGCACCGGAGAGCGAGCCAATGTGAGCTCTAAGGCGCAGGCGATACGGTCGAAGTTGCACCGGAAAGCGAGCCAATGTGAGCCCTAAGGCGCAGGCGATACGGTCGAAGTCGCACCGGAGAGCGAGCCAATGTGAGCTCTAAGGCGCAGGCGATACGGTCGAAGGGGCGCCGGACGGCGGCTGCGGCGGCTAGGCGGGGCGCCAGTCGCGCGCGGGCGGCTCGCGCTTGACGCGGCAGCCGAGGCAGGGCGCGAAGTTGACGTGGATGGTGACGGGGTGCAGCGCGGCCAGCGGCGCCTCCGCGCTCGCGCGCAGCTGCCGCGACACGCACGCGTACTCCACGCTCAGCGGCACGTAGTACTTGCCTGCCGGCGGTGGGGTACGATCAACTAAGGCGAACGGGACGGAGAGGCGGGCGGGGATAAACTAGATCGTCGGACGAGGCGAGCGGGCCGGCCCGTTATAAAGGAAGGAATAAACTATATACCTATGTATTTTTAGGCCAACGAAAGAAAACCACGAAGTTGTAGGAGGCGCGCACCGTGAAAACTCACTCTCGTAACTTTCTCGCAAACGCGGCGAGAGCAGAATAACTTAACATTGATTGGGCCACGCAGCTGCCTCGGTTGCACGACTGGGCAGGCTCGTCCGGGTAAGTACCGCGACCTCACAGAAGACCGGCGTAAAGTGGAAGTATGATACTTTCGCGTTTCGTCTAGTTAGTGAGGTGGCCGAAGCCCAATATTCAAAAAGGTTCATAATGCATCTGCAAACCTTCGGGTGTAGCAGATGTCCATGGGCGGCGATATTCACTTAACATCAGGTGAATCGCCTGCTCGCTTGACAACTTTTCAAATAAAAATTAAAAACTTCAAATATTTGACACAAAGCGTACAATTAAATTTACAACTATATTTATAGTTCTGCCTTTAATTAATTTTTCATCAGTTCCATAATCATGTTTATAGAACAGTAGATCTAAAACGCAATTGGATAACTTAATTTAACACCCATGCGTACTAGTTACCTGATAAGCATACCCGAACATAAAAAAGACAATTTCGTCACACAATTTCCAGCAGTGGGAATCGAACCCACACCCTCTGGCTTTAGCTATCCATTACGACAATCATATTCGTTCGTAAGATATATTGATGTATATTATTGGTCAGTTAAGGGGTTTCATTAAAAAAACTGTATATTTTAAATTTCTTTGGCGTCAGAAAATAAAAATTAATAAGACATTACCAGCATCTAAATCTTTGTCAATAATGTGTCAAATAAAAATATATTATCATTTCTGTAAGCTCTGGTACGGTGAAGTCTGCATACTCGAATGTCACGAGTACAAACACCAATATATAATAGATTTACTGAAGATCAGGGAATCAATATTATCATATATCATAATAGCTTTTCGCTCGCGTTGAAGTCTTTAAACGAATATCTTTCTTTAAAAAATTTATAAATATTTCAAATAAAGATATTTTCAACCCTTTACAACACTTTTTTCCAATTAAATAAATAAATAAAAATAGCCTATGTCCTTTCTCAGGCTCTAGACTTTTTCCCGCCAAAACTAGCGTGAAAAAGAGACAGACAGACAGAGTTACTTTAGCATTTATAATATTAGTATGGATAGAAAATAAACTGTCATTCATATATAAAATGTGTACCATTGTTGACCTCTCACGTCACATCTTCCTTCTCTCATGTAACGAAACGTAAACGTGACGCGTCTTTAAACTTTCACTTGCCTCCAAAAGGCTTCACTTAAGCTATATATCTTTTAAATTATATCGCATGATCAAAATTAAATGTTCGATAAATATTAAATACTGACCCAGCGCGTTTAGTGCGAACACGGGGACGAACTGAGCTGGGGGCGGTTTCTCGTACTGCTCGTATTGGTGGAGGTGTGGCGACTCGCTTGAAGTGTCCTGCGGAAATTCAATTCAATTCAATTTTAATGTAGGGATGTCGAAAGTGAAGAGATATGTCGATATATCGATATTTATAAAAATATCAATATCGATATATCGAAGAGAAGATCAGTATTTTAACTGTATATTATATCTCATTATTATGATGTGGTTACCAATAATTGTAAGAACAGTTAGATATGTACATCTAGCCTGTATAATATAGACTATAGTGACTGTATTGACTACAGCGTTGGTAATCCAATAAATAAATAAATCCCGATATATCGGAAATAAACCTACAAAACTTTGTCCAAATAAAAAAAAGGTATGTCAAATATTTGACATACCTTACAGACTCTGTGCACACTATACATACAGACACTACAGACTCTGTGCTGGATTCGAATTTGAAAAAATATCGTTATTCATACGATTTTCGCTATGGAATATTTCGTATCGATAATGGATAGATCCAAATATATCGCTTTAAAATATCGATTTATAGAAAGAATCATTTAAGGACCATGTTCACGCCCTTTATACAGGCCACATGATAAATATTTTAATTCTCGTTAAAGCTCCTTAAAATATGACCGACAAGCTCCATTCGGAATGACATCTATAAAAATGGTATCTCGGAAATGAGTTGGCATATAAAAAAATTGCAATAATTATTAACAAATGAAGATATAAAAACTATTAACATTTGAGTTTCCCAATAAAAGAATCCCAACCCCGGAACTCTACCGAATACCACAACGTTGTTTATAACTTTATTTAAGAAAAAATGCACATCTGACAATAATTAAGCCAATTTTTCAACCAAATCAAGGTTAACACGTTTTTGAACTTGTTGACCGGCCTACGTATCCGCAAAATGGGTGCAATTCCGGCCCTTGAATTGTGGCACGTGGTGAGTGGAAGTGTTACACTTCTACGTTTCGTCTGGTGAGGTAACCGGGGCACACAGTGGGACATTTATAGGTTGATACTTTACTTTACTTTTACAGCCTGCATATAATTTATCCTGAATATCCAAAATGATAATATTGACTTTAATGAATTTTTGACACCACTGTAAAGTATAACAAAAATGTATCGTGTAAAGTTTTTGTATCAGTAATATTTTTATCGCATTGTAATAAATGAACTGAGATTTTTTTCTGAGTTATATATTTATCATAGCTGTGTCATCATATCAATGTGTACCGATACAAAATTTGTAGTGAAATTTTTATCGTATCTTACATTGTGTCTGTGCGTGCGTCGTGAATGTTGTGTGTAATAAAAACGATACACTGTACGTGTATCGTTTTTGTCGTGAGTGTGCGTGCTTTGTGTTTGCCGCGTGTGTTTTGTGTGTGTGTCGTGTGTTGCTACGTGTGATATGTCGTGTGTTGGTGCGTTGTGTCTTGTATCTTGTATTAACTGATATTTGTGCTTTCAGTCCCGTGACTGTTAAAGCTTCATCTGACGCAGAACCGGTGGGCTAGCCAGGACACACGGGTTTGAGCCCTCCGCTGTGGCGTTGTGTGTTACTACGTGTGATATGTCGTATGTTGCTACGTGTGATACGTCTTGTGTGTGTGTATCGTGTGTTGCTACGTGTGATATGTCTTGTATGTGAGTGTATCGTGTTGCTACGTGTGATATGTCGTTTGTGAGTGCGTTGTGTGTTGCAACGTATGCAATGTCGTGTTAGTGCATCGTATGTTGCTACGTGTGATACGTCTTGTGTGTGTGTATCGTGTGTTGCTAAGTGTGATATGTCTTGTATGTGAGTGTATCGTGTTGCTACGTGTGATATGTCGTTTGTGAGTGCGTCGTGTGTTGCAACGTATGCAATGTCTTGTTAGTGCATCGTATGTTGCTACGTGTGATACGTCTTGTATGTGAGTGTATCGTGTGTTGCTACGTGCGATACGTCTTGTATGTGAGTGTATCGTGTGTTGCTACGTGCGATACGTCTTGTATGTGAGTGTATCGTGTGTTGCTACGTGCGATACGTCTTGTATGTGAGTGTATCGTGTGTTGCTACGTGCGATACGTCTTGTATGTGAGTGTATCGTGTGTTGCCACGTGTGATACGTCTTGTTAGTGCGTCGTGTGTTGCAACATGTGATACGCATTGTCTGCGAGTGTGCGTGCGCTGGCCACGGACCTGCGGCGAGGTGTCGTGCGCGTCCTCGGTGGAGGCGGAGGCGGAGGTGGAGGCGGCGGGCGCGGGGCGGGCCGCGCGCCGCCGCTTGTGCGAGTACGCCTTGCCGTGGGCGACGCGCGCCTGGCTCTCGGCCGCCTGTCGGCGATACCACCCTCATTACAGAACGCGCCCGCTTCGAGCCGGAACATGATGGTAATGTCTTTACAGTCACTAAATTGCCTCGCACAAAATCCATCGCACTTACGTCCCGTACATCTCATACAACTCGCATGGACCAGCAAAGCGTTAGCTTACGGAGCAATTATTCGCACTTATGTCTATCCATACATCTCATACAAGTCGCTCCCATCCCACCTAGACCAGACGCGCTCGGACCAGCAAAGCATTCCCTTCCACAATCTCCTTCCACCCGGACCAGACGGGGACCCACCTCGGAGTCCTGGGAGCGGGAGAAGCGCCTCTCGATGGAGTTCTTGAACTTGTACGAGTGCATGAAGTCCTCCTGGTCGGTGTCCCTGGGATTGCGCGGCGGCTCGCGCTTGCCCGGCCCGGGGACTCCCCCCGCGCTGGCGCCGTTCACGCACTCCGCCGGGGCCGCCACTGCGGACGGTTGCCAGGTAAAAAGCGCCGTTCCCTTAACCGTACACGATAGGATAAAACAGCCTGTCTTGATTGAGCTGTCTTTCGAAGGACCCTTTATACAATCCCGAATGTTGGAGCCATGCAACAGTCTTTGCTGTTGCACGAATGAGCAGGTCCGTGTGAGTTAGTACCACTACCTCATAGAAGACCACCGTGAAGTGGATTTGTTATATTTACGCGTTTCGGCTGATGAATGAGATAGCCGGGGTCCAGTTTCAAATAACGCATCTGCAACGCACGAGGCTTTATAGCTTTTCAAGAGCGGCGATAATCACTAAACATCAGGTGACACATAATAAAGTGATAACCTAACCTAACCACACGATAATCGCCCTATGGCCATCCATTGGCGTCTTCATTGACAGCTGCCAATCGAAAGACTTCGATGACTCCGTGGCGCCGTTGCCATGATATTGGCTTCGGCTTCGGAGGTAGTCTCTTCGATTCCCACACGGGACCACTATTTGTGTGACCCGCAAATGTTGCGCGTCTCGGCGTTTATGTCCAGGTGAAATTTATGTTTGCAAAACGTTCTTACGACACAGGATAATGTTATCCTAAAGTGAGGGCGAGGTTTTCGATAAAATAAAAAAAAGTACGTGATAGCTCCGCGATCAGCTTATCTAATGGTAGTCCCGCGTCGCCAAAGCGACAGTGGCGAAAGTGGGTCGTTGGGTCTCACCTCTGTCGCAGTCCTTGGGGTAGGTCTGGTCGGGCGGCGGGTCGTAGTGGTCCTGCGCGTAGGGGGCGGGCCCCGGCGGGGGCTGGATCACCCCCTTGGCCGCGTAGCCCATCGAGCTGCTCGACGAGCTGGCCGTCTCCGAGGCGGAGCCGTGCGACCGACCCTTGTCCCGGCCCGATTCCCCTGCGGAAGTATATATACTCGTCACAAACCATCCGTCGAATGACCACGTCAGATGACGACTTGACCGTGTGATGATGATGTGGCTTCAAGTTCGACCTATCTCAGTCAGATTCCTTTATTGTGAGTTTTGGTCACCTCTTCCAAAATGATCACGTCACACAACTTTTAAATAATGTGATGAGTGACGGTGTAGCTTCAATGTCGACCTAGCTCGGTCAGATTCCTCAATGTGAAAAATGTTTGCGTAACACAAACCACCACTTTCAAATGATCACGTTATGACGATATGGTAAGTGACGATGGATGTAGCTTCAAATTGCAGTGGCAAATTGAACGACTTTACGTATTTTCGAAATTTAATAATTGTTGTTAATAATTTAATTCATTAAGATTAAAGCTACGAATTTGATGGCACTTTAATTATTATACTTATTAGTTGCGATGTTGTTACAGTTGCATCAAGTGAATTTTGTTCTTCAATTTCTGAAGTAACATTTGCAATAATAAAATTGAACGAAACCTCGTGGAGTACGTAACAATTTCTAAAAGAAAAATTGCCGTTGATTTCGGAACACGCTCTATATTTAATATATAGTCGTTTGAAAAATCTGTGGTGATAATTGTGTTCATACAGGTGGGAGGAGTTTTAAGAGAATGAAATCTCTTGCAGCGTGTGAAAGAGAGAGTGATTTAATACAAAGAAGAGGAACCATAGAATAAAAGACGGAAAGGGCGAATTCTGTCGGTGGCGCCTCTGCCAAGCTATTGGCTCCCGCTGGAACTGGGTTCGATTCCCGCTTGACAAGTACTTGTGTGACGAAGAGGATTGACGTCATCAGTCGCAAAATACCTAGAGGATGCCGATGACGTAATTGACTTGTTACGTCATTTAGGTGGGATGAGAAGAAGGGATAGAGTGATAATATATATCAATGGACACCTAGGTGGGATAAGAATAGGAGAGGATAGATAGATAGATAGATATTCTTTGTTTCTAAAAACATGGTATACGTACATTGCATGCAATATATTGAGGATATCGGATATCGCAAACGAAGGGTTCCGTACCATAATATTCTAAAAAAAACGGCAAATCATGCCTGTTGTATAGAAGTCCCACTTTTTTATTCCATTTTTTACAATTAGTTGTTACAGCAACAGAAATACATCATCTGTGAAAATTTCAACCGCCTATCTATCACGGTTCATGAGATACAGTCCGGTGACAGACAGACGGACGGACAGACAGAAAGACAGAGGAGTCTTAGTAACAGGGTCCCGTATTACCCCTCGGGTATGGAACCCCAAAAATGAATTAATGCGGATATGGTGACGGATACCAACGGACCTTTGGTGATGACCTCGCAGTGCCTCTGGAGGTGGGCGGCGAGTTGTGCGCAGAGGCTGTCGGCGGGGTAGCCCTGCCCCTCGGCGAGGTAGCGCAGCGTCTCGCCCACCGCCTCTTGGTAGCCGGCGCGGAAGTGGTCCTCCCCCGCTTGCCTCTCGCCCGCTGTAACATAGCGCCGTCTCGCTTACAACTGGTATCGCTTTACTCTTCTAAATCCAACATAAAACCCCATTCGTCTCTTGTGCAACGTACCGCGATCAACTTGCTACTTTCACTACGGTATTCTTCTAAGCTACTTTTGAGAAGAGTAGAGAGTAGTACTTTTGAAAGAGAAAGAAGATTTTGTGAGTGATCTTGTGTTTGGATTATAATAGTTACATTAGAAGCCTTTATAATGTAGGTTTACTTTAATAAACTGTTAACGTAAATACTTATAGCGTTAGCACAAAGTAACTACAACCAATCAAATGGTTGTCCAATTCTACTCTTGGTACGGACGCAGGACATTGCAGACCAATACGTAAGTACGTAGGTGACTTGCATTGCATGTTTATTAGCTTCTGTCAGTATTTATCACATTATATAATACGTGAGCTTTATTCTCTATAGCTACCTAAAAGAACAGGTGGTAGATCGGGAACTTACTAGCTATTTTCCATCAGGTAAGGTGGAAATAAACGAGGTGGTTCGCCCCTGTTCAGTGTAAAACTGCAATCTGCAACCCTACAAGGCATCCACTGACAATTGCAGATGCTTTTCCGTTAAACTTGTGGCCTCCCATCGCCATCCATCAGACCAATCCAGAAATTCCTTCCACTTCACGCCAGTCTTCTGCGAGGCCAGTGCTTCCCCGGACGAGCATTCCATATGAGCAGAAACTGCCCGGCCCTACCACAGAGAATACTAAACTAACGAATAAGGAAACCTTGACCCCGTTCACCTGAAACCAAGCGGCGTTAACAGCAATTCCATCTTACAAACCATTGATGCGCTCCTGCAGGAACTTGAGGTGGCGGATCGCCATCTCTATTATCTCCGTCTTCTCCACCCTGCCGCGGCCCTTCTTCAGGTACTCGGGCGGGATGAGCCGCGAAAGGTCCGCCAAGCAGTTGTTCATGCGATCCCGCCGCCTCTTCTCGATTATTCGGTGCGACATCGGATCTTGCTGTTGGGTTAACATCGACGTTAATCGTGAAACCCTTTAGCGTAACCTTATAAAAGGGCTTTTATAAGGTGGAAAAAGTGGCAAACGAGCTGGCGGCTCACCCGGCGTTAAATAATAACCGCCGCCCATAGACAATTGCAACAACCCTAGGGTAGCAAATGCGTTGCCATCTTTAGATAAAGTGCGCCCCGGCTACCTCATTCACCAGACGAAACGCAGAAATGTAACACCCCCACTTTACGCCGGTCTTCTGTGAGGTCGTGGTGATTACCCGGACGGACCGCCCATTCGTGCAACAGTGAAAACTGTTGCGTGGCCCTACCACAGTTAGAATTTTAAGAAACACTTCAACAACGAAATAACTTCAACAGCCGACTAGTATAGAAGATAAAATGTTTAACATTTTCAACACAAAAAAAATTAGGCGTCCTTTAATAAAGAAGTATAAAAGCTAAAGCAAGCTCAGATTTGTAGAATTTTCCGAGATCAGATTAGTAAAACGGTAATTTATCACAAGTAATGATTGCACGTCTGTGGGGGTGGCATATGTTCAGCAGTGGACTCAAGCAGGCCTATGATTTGTGGTTTCGATTCCCACACGGGACAAGTATTTGTGTGACCAACACAACTGTAAAGGAACTGGATGTGTGTTACCAAGTAGAGTTGACGACAGGTCATGATAAACCTTGCCATCGTTAACATGTCTCACGTGCTGTACCTACCCCACCAAGTGGTACAAGAGCAGGGGAAAGAGGACAGAGTATCGGGAACTTGTGAATCTAAGCGAGACGGAAAGAGATGTAAAATCGGGCATGTTCAGTTTGACTTGCCCTCGTGACCTTCCCCTTCTTCAAGTAGGCGCCTGGCGGGAACTCCGCCTCGTCTTCCGACGGCGCTGCGAAGTTCAGCTGTTCCCCGGCCACCCTGCCGAAGCCGTCATTGGAATTGTAGCTGGAACAAGGCAATTCACACTTTAGATTCAACTTTATAAGGTTCACGACAAAAACATGTTTATCAGTTTTCTGTAAACATGTCAGTTAATTCTCCTAGCGACAGATCAATCTAGATTCGCTCCATATTGCATTATTTATTCGATTATCAATATTGTTCCAACACGTGCATGAGTTCCAGTGAAATACGACTATAACACTTATAAATTGTATAGTACGTTTATCCGACCACGCGCGGATCATGTGTAAATAGTGCTAATAATAACGATAGACAATTCGCCATTCAATTTCTAGGGTAACTAGGTAGAAATAGAGAATCGCCCAGCTCGGTTTTTAGAACCATAACGTAAAAAAATAATAGGTTTTCAATTGGTTGAATGGTTCCCTTAATCACTCGAAAAGCTTTTGTTTACATAACGTCTAATTTGGCACACACAGACTATTGGGCGAACACTCTCTCTCTCTCTCCCGTGCATTTATTATTCCCACACGGTAGTGCGATCTGCCTTTCCTGTCATTCGCTTCCACTTCGCTCTATCCATTGCATCGTCATGAGTCACATTGCAGGCGTTAAGAATTGGGCGAACACTAGTTGTGATAAAAATGTCTATGAACTCGTAAACCAATATAAAGAAATATCTTAAATCAAATTAACCCTGACCGTACAATCATTCGCTGTCGATTGTATACACACGTGAAGTCAATTGGCAGACTCTGTTGAATATTCGATAGCAGAGTCGACTCACGAACAAAAAGACCGACATCATCTTACCAAAGACTGCACCAGTGAGCATTAGATGTGTCGAACATGTCGAGCGTCTTCCCGGGGCGAGCTTGGGCACAATTGTGACCGAATCAACGTGGACGGCCGCTTAAAAGGGAAAGCCACCGACCCAAGGATAAATCGAAACATTTTTTCCAAAGCGACCCGAACGTGAGCCGCCCTGGAAATTGGGTCATGAATAACCGATCGTTTATCAATTGCAACGTGCCTGGGTCGCATTAAACAATAAATTCATACGGATTTCGATTTGCTAAATCGTGTTACGAGCCACGTGATAGCGCCCGGGCCGGCGGCGACGTAAACAAAAAGAAAAAGGACTCGAAGTGTCCTTGAAATTTGAATTGGATATTTTTTTTTCTTTTTTATACCGGGCCGGTTCGACTTTCGCCAGCTATAAGGTCGTAACTGTATCTTGTTCTGCAATTTGTAATGGAGGATCGGTAAGTAGGGAATTACGTGAATTCATTTAGGCGACTATAGTAGGTATTTATATTTCTTGTGGTCCCCTATCTCGGTGGTAAGTTCCACTGCGACCTAGATAGATCTATTGTACTCTTCCCTTCGAAAACTTTGCCATTAGTAAATTTCACGTGGTCAAACACTCAAATCCGAAAAACCTGCCCGTGGAACCCACAAACAGTTGTCTCACACCGACCCTCAAAAAGCGACATTATACTTGGTAATATTGGCTACCAATAACAACTTTTTGACATGTAACCCCAAACCAATGATATTTCATACAAATACGAGGTAGATATGAGACTAGCTCAGCGAAACTGAGACACTCAAATTACGCCAATTGGCGTAATAAGTTCTATATTATCTATCACATTCATTTATATATGACATATAATGTAAAGCGGAACAATTTTTAAAATCCGCGCAGTATCGACTTGCGCCATCTTATGCCAATAATTTCAAATTATCTTGATAAACCGTTATCAATTGCATTTAATGTATTTACGCTAAAGAAATACAACTTTTTACGTGTGTACATAGGTTCACACATACTTTGTTTTATACTAATGTACTTTAGAGCTGTCTTACATTTTATTGTTGACTGAAAAACGTTGTAAATTATTAAATGCATTTGAATATTTTGTTTTGGGATGCGTCCGGCAATTTAAATTACATTAGCCATGATTGTGGGTCACAACGTGAGGTGTCCCGAATAAATACATTAAAAGAAAGATAAAGGGTAATTATCAGTTTGGGTTTGTATGCAGGGGTTGTGCCAGTGTTTTTTTTTATGCGAGAAAGTGGCAATCGAGCTGGCGGTTCAACACCCTTAGGGTTGCAGATGCGTTTCCACCTTTTAATAAATTAGGCCCTGGCTACGTCACTCACCGGACGAAACGTGGAAGTTAAAAACACCCCCACTTTACGCCGGTCTTCTGTGAGGTCGTGGTACTTACCCGGACGGACCTAATCATTCGAGCAACAGGGAACACCATTGGATGGCTCTACCACAGTTGTGTACAGACCATATCCGCCCCGAGGGGCCGGGAAACTTGCTGCTCAGCACTGGCTACCCTGGCTTACAGGGGCCCTAGACATCGGACTCAGGGGAGTACGTTACTTCGGTGTGAATGAGGTCAGATAATCGTAGGAATTTGAGGGATATTGAATTAATTAGTTAGAATATTAATGTGAAATGTGATAAAAATTGTAAATTATTTAAATCGTAAATAAATGTATGTAGTAATCGTTTCAATTTACAGAATGATTAAGATCATTGTATGCATTCCAAAACAAGTCATTTTATTTATTAACGAAAAACAAAACCGACTTGATATATATAACTCGCTCTGTATTCATTTTACAATTGATTTTCAGGAGTACCAATACAAGTTACAATAGTGTATACCTCAAACCCTTCTCGCTGATCATTGTATTCTCAGTAACATGGTTGCCTGGAAGAAATCGCTTCGAAGCGATAAGGCCGTCAATTGTACCTTTATGAAATTGTTTGTTACTTTTGTCTGGTGTACAATAAAGCGTATTTCATTCATTCATTCGTTCCCTACGTATCTCCGGAGCCCAAGATCGAATACCAATGAAATTAATACGGGACCACATGGGAAACACCAGCTTTCAAATAAAAAAAGAGTCATTAAAATCGGTTGACTCAGTCGAAAGCTCTAAGGTAACGAACATAAAAACATAGATATATATATACAGTTGAATTGAGCTCCTTCCTCCTCCTACCTCCTTTTTTGAAGTCGGTTGAAAAAGGTCGGTATCATCAAAGGAAATGAATACAAAAATATGATATACAAAATCTGACAGCCTAATTGTTTTTGTATTAATTCACATTTTAGCTGCAACTTATTGATTGAAACGTTATAAATTATTAATCCCTTTGAATATTTTGTTTTGGGATGCGTCCGGTAATTTAAATTACATTAGTCATGATTGTGGGCCACAACCTGAGGTGTCCTGAATAAATACATTTAAGGAAAGATAAAGAGTAATTATCACTTCTTGTTTGGTTGTGCGAGGTCAGTGTGTACAGACCATATACGCCGCGAGGGGCAGGGATACATGCTCGATTGACGACCCGAAAGGCGTAGTGGGTAGTGTACCTGCCTCCTGTGCCAGAGGGTGTGGGTTCGATTCCCACTACTGGAAAAATATTGTGTGATAAATATAGTGCTTATCTAGAGTCTGGGTGTTTATATATGTATAATATGTAGTGATTTACAAAAGAAAATAATGTTTTCTTTGTTATCTAGTACCCATAGTACAAGCGTTGCTTAGTTTGGGACTAGAGAACGTTGTGTAAAAATGTGTCCTAGAATATTTAAAGTAAAAAAATTAAAATTGAATGAGGATAGATAAACGCAGGAATATGGAATTAGTTAGATAGAATATTCAATGTAAAATGTGATAAAATTTGTAAATTATTTGAATTATAATCAATGTACGTGTTATTCGTTTGAATTTACAGAACAATTAAGATAAATAATAATTTTGAAATGCACATAAATAATGTGCATTTCAAAATTATTCCCAAGGAGGGTTGACGTCAGGTCGTAAAAAATCATAACCAAAACCGCTTACAAAGGCAGAAGGATCTATTAACAATGCGGGTTACCTAAATTGTATTATTGTCGAAATATCGACTTTTAGTTTGGAGATACTCGAGAAGACCAACCGATCGCATCTACGTGTCGAGACGACTGGATAGTTTCATGCAACAAATGCCTATCCCCGAAATGCCTCATGTTATTAACCGACTTCAAAAGGAGGAGGTTCTGAATTCGACTCAGAACTTTCGATTGAGTGAAGCGATTTTGATGATTCTTTTTTTATTTGAAAGCTGGTGCTTTGTGTGTACATGTGGTCCCATATTAATTTCAATGGTATTGGATCTTTGGCTCCGGCGATACTTAGGGAATTCCGGAGAGTCAGTTGTAAAATGAATACAGAGCGAGGTATATGAAGTCGGTTTTTGTTTTTCGTTAGAAAAAAAACGGTTGTGCTACGAAGCGTCGCTGATTTAAAATTCATAAAGGCCGGCGATAACAATATTTATGAGGGAGCGGAGCACCGCGTGACCGTCGACATGTGACGCGCTCACGTGTACGACGCCGCCGCGTATGTATGACGCGCGCGTATGTATGTGTATGGAATCGGCAACTCCAGTACTTCTTACGTCCGGGATGGGGAACTGTGCTGAATGTTACCTGAAAACTGTTACCGTCACTAACCGGTCGACAGTTTTTGTTGATGCTTGCGCCGAAGGTCGGTTGATAAAAAATCACGATCGTTAATAGGCTAGTTTCTACTAATGTCCCTACCAATCCAATCAAGTATGACTATGCATGCGAACAACATGTGACATCTCAGTTAACGGCGTTGAATATTAATCTTAAAAAATTGGACGAACTGTTATGCACCGTTGTGGGGATTTGAACCTGTGTACCCGGGATACGCGCCCGTCGCGTTAGCCATTGAGCTAAACGGCTTAAGTGCAAAGAATGGCACTGTGAAAATTATATATATATATATATATATATATATATATATATATATATAATGTATATATATATATATATATATATATATATATATATATATATATATATATATATATATATATATATCCTCGTAAAACCAACGGCCCCTTTAAAAGGATTATATATTTTAAGTCATTTCGTCCTGAACTTTTGATCACCTAGACTTGAATGAACGCCGGAGGTCCCTTTAAAGGA